GGGGGGTTTCTGTCCCATTTTACTACCCAGGGGTGGTAGTACCTCCCTGGGGGGTTCTTCTCCACCAACCCACGGGTGGGAGTACCTTCCGGGTGGTTGCTGTCTACCCAAACCCACTCCACAGGTGGTAGTACCTTCCAGGTGTTGCTGCTCCATCTACTACCACAGGATGGTAGTACCCCCGGGTGTTGCTTCCCAACCACTACCACAGGGTGGTAGTAAACCCTTTCCCGGGGGGTTTCGTCTACCAACCTACTACCCCAAATGGGTACCTTCCAGGGTGGGTTTGCTACCCCGTCTACTACCACAGGGTGGTAGTACCTCCCCGGGGGTTTGCTGTCTACCAACCTACTACCACAGGGTGGTATACCTTCCAGGGTGGTTGCTGTCTACCCTCACTACCAAGGATGGGAGACCTTCCCGGGTGGTTCTGTCTACCCAAACCACTACCCCAGGATGGTAGTACCTTCCAGGGGGGTTGCTGTCTACCACCTACTACCACAGGATGGTATACCTCCCGGGGGGTTGCTGTCTACCACCTACACCACAGGACAGTAGACCTTCCAGGGTGGTTGCGTCTACCCCGCCTACACCACAGGATGGTCAAACCCTTCCAGGGGGGTTGCTGTCTACCGCCTACTACCACAGGGTATACCTTTCCCGGTGGTTGCTGTCTACCACCTACAACCACAGGATGGGGGTACCTTCCAGGTGGTTTTCTGTCTACCAGCCTACTACCACAGGGGGGTAGTACCCTTTCCCGGGTGGGGGGTTTCTGTCTACCCCACACCACAGGATGGTATAACCTTCCAGGGGTTTTGCGTCTACCAGCCTACTACCCCAGGATGGTATACCCTTTCCCGGGGGGTTTTCTGTCTACCAAACCCACTACCCACGGGTGGTATACCCCCCTGGGTGGGTTTTTCTACCACCTACTACCACAGGGGGTAGTACCTTCCAGGTGGTTGCTGTCACCACCTACACCACAGGAAAAGGGATACCTTCCAGGGGTTTTCTGTCTACCAGCTACACACAGGGGTAGTACCTTCCAGGGTGGTTGCGTCTACCAACCTACACCCAGGATGGATACCCCGGGGGTTGCGTCTACCAGCCACTACAAGGATGGTAGTAACCTTTCCCGGGGGGTTGCGTCTACCAAACCACTACCCCCAGGATGTAAAATACCTTTCCCGGGTGTTGCGCTACCAACCTACTACCCAGGTTGGATACCTTCCCGGGGGGTTTTCTGCTACCAACCTATACCACAGGATGGTATACCTTCCAGGGGTTGTGTCACCACCTACTACCCCAGGATGGTAGTACCTTCCAGGGTGGTTGCTGTCCCAACCCCACTCCACAGATGGTAGTACCTTCCAGGGTGGTTTCTGTCACCCGCCTACTACCCCAGGATGGGGAGTACCCTTCCCGGGTGGTTGCTGTCTACCCAAACCACTACCACGGATGGTATACCTTTCCCGGTGTTTTCGTCTCCAAACCCACTACCACGGTGGGATCCTTTCCCGGTGGGTTTCTGTCTACCACCTACTACCCAGGCGGTAGTACCTTTCCCGGGGGTTGCTGTCTACCAACCCACTACCACAGGTTGGGATACCTTCCCGGGTGGTTGCGCTACCAACCTCTACCCCAGGAGAGTACCTTCCAGGGGGGTTGCTGTCTACCACCTACTACCACAGGATGGTGTACCTTTCCCGGGGGGTTCTGTCTACCACCACTACCACGGAGGTAGACCTTCCAGGGGTTCCCTACCAACCTACTACCACAGGACGGTAGTACCCTTTCCAGGGTGTTGCGTTACCAACCTACTACCCCGGGGGTAGTACCTTCCCGGGGGGTTTTCTGCTACCAACCTACTACCACAGGATGGGGGACCTTTCCCGGGGGGTTTTGTCTCCAACCACTACCCAGGATGGTAGACCTTCCAGGGGGTTGCTGTCTACCAGCCTACAACCCCAGGAGGGAGTACCCTTTCCCGGGGGGTTGCTGCTACCACCTACACCACAGGATGGTAGTACCTCCAGGGGGGTTTCTGTCTACCAAAACCCACTACCCCAGGAGGAGTACCTTCCAGGGGGGTTGCTTCACCAACTACTACCACAGGAGGTAGTACCTCCCGGGGGTTTCTGCTACCACCTACTACCACAGATGGGATACCTTCCGGGTGGTTTTTGTCTACCAGCCTACACCACAGGATGGAGACTTTTGGGTGGTTGCTGCTACCAAACCCACTACCACAGGAGGTATACCTTCCAGGGTGGTTTCTGTCCCACCATCTCCCACCACAGGAGGTATACCTTCCAGGGTGGTTGCTGTCACCCGCCTACTACCACAATGGTGAAACCTCCCTGGGTGGGTTTCTGTCTCCACCTACAAACAGGTGGTTTCCTTCCAGGGGGGTTGCTGTCTACCATCTACTACCTAGGAAATATACACTTGTATGATAAATAAAAAAATGGCCTGAGTAAATAAATAAACAAATAATTACTGTAACTAACTAAATACCAATTTGAGAAGTAAATAAATGACAGAACTGTACAATACAAAAAAAAAGTTTTTTAAATACATTTAAACCCACCATCGTAAAGTTGAAATTTGTAAGTCAGAATATCGCAAAAACCCAGGAGCACTGTATAAATTCATTAGTCAATTTTGGTGAAAAATTTTTTAAATTTAAAACCCCGTTAAAGCTGATGCAGTTTTTTTAATCCCGAAATTTTCTGACGTTTCAAAAAAAATTCTACTCTTAGTGCCACATTTTTTTAAAAAAAAAAATTATTTTTAAAATATTTTCATTATTTTAAAGTGTAATAGACAAAAATGAATGAAGGTTTAAGGTGTGTTATTCTTTTTATAATAAGCCTTTTATTTATTGTCAATAATAGTATAAAAAATGGCATTTTCCAGCCCCACAGTGCCTTCACCAAGTTTTTTTACTTCACACACCTATGAATCTATAAACTATAGGGAAGGAAGGGGTAGGGTCGTCCCCCGAAAGGGGTTTGGGAAAAAGGGGGGGAAAGGAGGTTTTTTTGGGGTAGGGGGTTTTTACTTCCCCGCAAGCGTGCATAGCGGTTAGATAGGAGTGAATGAGGCAAGATACTTGGGACCTGCGATCTGTTGAGTGTGAGCGGTAAAATTTATGAAGGGGTTCAGGGAAAAACCGGTTATGTTTATATAGTCGGACTTTAGTCCTGGAAATGGGGAAATACAATGCCTGCACTTTAAAAGGAGGGTTTGGGATATTTTGGGAGTTTGGAGGGATATTTGTTATCTTTATACGTATTGGTTCTAAGCTTTGTATTTTGAGCACCTCTGCAAAAGCATGATAATGTTGGGGGTGGGTGAAAGTGTTGAAAAGATATGAAAGTATTTTCTTTTTGGGATTTTCTTTCTTTTTTTGGGTCCCCTGGCCCGGTGGAGACGGGCCCCTTGTTTAAAAAAAAAAAAAAAAACACCAAAGAACTAGACCTGTTTTTTCTCTGACCAATTTAGCTCATTTTGGAGGCCCCAGAATTTTTTGGGGATATATAGTCAACAGTAATTTTTTTGTGAGGGTATATACAGCCTCTCCTCACTTAGGACGTACCATTTACCAATGACTCAGACTTTCGACAGGATCTCGACCAATGCATTCCAAAAAATGTATATTAAGCTGATTTCCTCTATTTTTTTTATTCAAGTAACAGTACACTACGTAAACAATTAAAAAAATACTAAAAATTTATAATGGTGCAAAGGTACATTAAAACAATATCAAAATGGGGAACACAAACCCCGTACATTATGGTAACTCCCTTGTTTAGCGACGAATTGTTTTTCCGACTGGCTTAGGAACGGAACTCCATCGTTAAGTGAGGAGATATGTCATCGGCAGCTTAAGGGCTAAACAATAATTTCCATCTTTCTCTGTGATCTCAGTACAGCCTCTCATCGCATAACGACGGAGTTCTGTTCCTGAGACCACGTCGTTAAACGAATTTGTTGGTAAGCAAGGAGAATACTATAATGGTAGTGAGTTTGTGTCAACCATCTTTGATATTGTTTTAAAGTCACCTTTGCACCATTTATAACATTTCTGGTATATTTTTTAAATGTTTATTCAGTAGTGTACTGTATATTGATATCCGTAAACAGAATAGAGGAGATCAACTCTAATATACATTATTTAGGTATGAATACTGGTCAGAGAGCCCGTCGTAGGTCCGAGGCACTGGTAAACAAGTACATATGTCGCTAAGTGAGGAGAGGCTGTACTGTATTATTCAATTCAATTCAAGTTTATTCTTTATAAGGGTTACAATGTGGGATTTACAGGTTTTGGGTATAGCGTGGTTTACATGTTATAGAATACTAATTATAGAGGGGGCCAATAGGACACCTAGCATGGCTAGGCATTTCGGGCAGACTTAGATTAATTCTTAATATTAAATTCTTACAGATTATGGTATTAAGGTTAAGTGACTACATCATAATTTGTGAGTTTAGCAATATGAATGCTTTTGTTTTGGCACAATACAAAGTGTCTATATTGGAGTATCATAGGCAAACTTATGACTAGTTAGGATTTATTATTTTAAGATTAGGATTAGTATTTCTTGGTTTATAGTCAGTGGGTGAGTGAGTGTAATTGTGAACCACCAGGTGGTTATCATGTAGTTAGTTGTCAGGGTGTATCAGGGAGATAAGATGTACAGTAATGGACTAATAGGGAGTGTCCATTATATCAGAATAAATTTAAAAAATACCAATAAAATGCACTGAAGTCCTCTACTATATACTTGATATAATACTTAACCTACATTTTACAGATATATTGCAACAAACATTGAAAATAAACGTTAAAAGTACACTTTACCCAGTGAATTTTACCCATAATTGTTATATTGAGTCTACTGTATCTAGCTGCAGTACACAAAAGAATTATGAACATCTGTTTAATTTCTTAGATGTTAGTTATATTATTTTGTAAAAATATTCAGCAGATACAAAAGAGCATATAAAGGATGATGGTGGTCCTTCAATCAAGGCTTCCCTAGTATCGCGTATGGCACGGGTGGGCCACCCACTGCTTCCAACTAGACCCAGTAATACTTCTTCACATCCCACCGACTCAGAAAGTGAAGTGGTAAGAATGCAGGTGTGAAGGAAGAATACCCTATAATTTTCTTATTGCACGTCTTCTTATGCCAGTACTAAATTAATCTTTGTATGCATGGGGATATTTGCAGTTTTGAACTGTAGTATCAGCACACCTCTGACAAGACAGTGATGGAGTGAGTGATGATGAAAATGTTTATTCTTTTTTGGAGCACCCCAAAAAATTTTTTTTATAATATTTTATGCATAAATTGTACATTCTTCTCATTCTTCAACTTTTTATGCTTTATTGAAAGCATAACAATTTATTTTTCAGATTTAGGTTTATAACACAGGGAGCAAGGGGCTAGTAACCCCTTCTCCTGTATAAATTACTAAATTTCAAAAGAAAAACTTTTGCTTTTCTTTTTAGGTCACCCTGCCTCAGTGGGATACAGCCAGTTTGTCGAAAAAAAAAATAATTCAGATTTATTTTCTTTTAACCCTTTCAGGGTCCAAGGCCCAAATCTGGAGTCACGCACCAGTGTCCAAGAATTTTCAAAAAAAAAATTTATTATTTTTTCTTATGAAATCATAGAGAATCTTTTTGTGAAGGTAATAAAACAAAAAGTACGAAATTTGGTGGAAAATTGATGAAATTATGCTCTCGCGAATTTTGATGTGTCAGCGATATTTACGAATCGGCGATTTTGCCGACTTTGACTCCCATTTTAGGCCAATTACATTATTCCAATCAACCAAATTCTTAGCTATTTCACTGGTATTACTTCTATTCTATCGATTGAGCACAAGAAATCGCCAAGTCAACTGTTTCAACTACAAAATAAAGTGATCGGAAATTGTTAATTTGGCCAATTTAACACAAAGTTCAAAATATTCCAATTTCAAAATAGGGTCCAGAATGAACAATGTAGGCATTCCTGGCACTAAACTAACATTTCCTCTGTTCATTAGTTATGTTTTGAGGCTTTACAAATAAATTCCATTTTGATTTTTTATTCACATAATGAATTTTTATTCACACCAAAAAATAGAAGATTTACTGTTATGCAATACTGTAATAATTGTATAAATATCATCACCATATTTGTGAATGTATATTAGACCCACCAGCTGACGTGTATTAGACGTGTGAGGTCGTTTGTTTACTCTTGAATATCGGCAAAAATTTAACATTTCTGCTACTTTGAGCTCAGTTTCAAGCCATTTCCAGTGCTAAAACCAATCAAAATCATCTCTATTTCTGTAATATGTCTTCCATTCTATCAAATGAGACCAAGAAATCGCAAATACAACTATAAAAAACATACGAAAAAACACTGCAAAGTTGCTGTTTTAATCGAAAAATCATGATTTCATTTTTTTTCTCTCATTATACACAGTGTGCTGCAGGATCTGTTTTATGTGGTGCACACATACCACATAGATGTATTCTCTCATATCTAGGCCCAAATGTACCACTCACAGTTTATCAGAGTGAGCTGAGCTCATGGCGTAGATCTACGGTTTGGACCCTGAACGTAAAGCCGTAGATCTACGGGACGGACCCTGAAAGGGTTAATAAAGATGAAGGGAAGAGGTAAACCCACTAGGAGTCATGTAGCACTCAGGGCATGGGAGGCATTCAGGTTTGATTAAAGGAAGGGAAGGATAAATCCAGTTCCTTGGATTAAGAGCCTTTCAAAAGCAGCAGTGTACCTCTCTTGAGGGAATAGTTGCATTACAATCATTAAAAGTTAGTGTAAATAATAAAAGTTTTAGTAAAGAGTGTATAAAACTGTGGAAATTTGTAGGTAGGGCCCTTGTATCCGCAGGGGATATGTTCCAAGGACCCGCCGTAGATGCCAAAACTGCGGATAGTAGCATACTCTATATATAAGTCCTATACATTCCTATTATAAAGTTTAATTGATAAATTATGTGCAGTAAGTGGAGAATTATCACTTTTTTACTTTGAAGAACTGCCAGCTTCTCTGCTTTTGCAATTTGGGGTCATTATTATGCAAAATTAAGAGGTATTTTTGGGCCACAGTAAACCGTGGATAATTGAAACTGTGGATACTGAATCAGTGGATATAGGGGGTTCTACTGTATGTTTTATAGACCAGCTTTAGTATTGTGAAAGATAAAGCTGAATGTTCTACTGTAAAAGGTTGCTGCTTAAATAATTTCCTCTGATTTCCATCATTTAATTTTCAGGAAGAAATCTCAAGACAGAAACACAATAGACATAATAGCAGTTCAATGTCTGGGTCAACAGAAGAGTTAGCAGCAACCCCAGCTATCAGATCCAGAGCCCCATCAACTCGATCAGACACCATAAGGCCAGAGCCAGCCCCACGACCATCTCATCTTTCTTCACACCCACAGCAAATGGTGGTGTATCAGCCAGCTCCCTGGCAACAACATGGGATTGTGGTAAGAGTCAGGTCTCTCTTTTTTTTTTTTAAAACGTCAGCCATCTGATCTTGTGTTGGAATTTATAAATGATGGCAGATTTCTTCATTTGCATCTTGCTATTGAAATTATATTTGTTCAACAGTATACTGTGTTCAGCTAATTATCACAGGTGAGCAGTGTGGCAAATGTTGCAAGTCTCAGGCTAGGATACTATTTCCTAGTAAAAGAAGGTTTGAGACTGAGACGTGTGAAGTCACCATGGTTGTTCAACGTATTTATAGATGGGGTTTTTAAAAGAAGTGAATAGTAATGTGTTGGGGATATGTGTGGGATTAAAAGATTATGAATCTGCTGTGAAGTACGAGTTGTCACAGTTGTTCTTTGGCAATAAATTGTTTTAGGACAGCTGTTGAATGAATAACAATGAATATTTCAGTTTTTGTGCTGATTCTACATGGTGAGAGATGCCCAGTGTTGGAAAAACTATCATAGATATTTGAGATGAAAGCAACTGAAATTGTTTGTACAGCAAAATATTTATGTTATATGTCATATGTTACAGTAATAATATGTAATTACAGTAGTACCTCAGTACTCAAACAGCTCCTAACTCGAACAATTCAGTATTCGAATGCTTTGTTCGGTAAAAAAATTGCTCGGTAGTTGACCGTTTGCTTGGTACTCAACCAACCAAACACAGCCTGCCAGAACTTCGCTGTAAACTATTTCGTGCTTCTTCACATTTTTTGGTGTTTTTTATATTATTTGTATAAATAAGTCACCATGGGGCCTAAGAAGATTAGTAATAACAGCCAACCATAAGGAATAATTTACATTGTTCCTTATGGGAAAAATTCATTCGGTACTCGAACAAATCAGCACTCAAACAGCCTTCTGGAACAAATTAAGTTCAAGTACCGAGGTACTACTGTATTTTGATATTCACCTAGTTGAATAACGTACAGTAAATATTTTCTTTGTATTTGTGTTACTTTAGGGTCCTGGATACTCGATGGCAGCTGGTGCTTCAGTTGGGACTCATATTGTTCCTCCACAACAAGTTGCTCCAGTAGCTGACCCAACTCTCTCTCTCTTGTTTTCTGAAACCAGATCACAGAACACTGAACTCAAAATATGTGTGTCAAAGATGTCAGACAAGATCGATAACCTTATGAACAAGGTAGGTGTTATGTTGTACTAAATACTCTAGATACCTTTAGCTTCAGTGTTTCATATAACATGAATAATAAGCACATGTAATATATTATTATTTTAATAAGATTTACTGTACAGTTTTTTTGGTACATTAATTATGTATATGTTGAAATTTTGGAGTATTTGTAGGATTCAAAATGGGGTATGGTATCTAAATTAAATACAATTTTTGCTATGTGAAATTGTGAGTCTAATGTACACGTCTTTATATAAACAAACTCATACAACTTCAAAGAAACTTGAAACAACATGAAGAATCTTATCGTGTCCCTCAAATTAAAACAGCATCTAAATTAAATAATTTATTTATTTTGAAATGAGTCAATAACACACAAATAAAATTAAGGACATACTGTAATAGAACATAAGGAGAATTCTCTGTCTGAGGCAGATATAATGTAATTTATTGCAGGAATTCATAGACATTCGAGATTAGGAGGTAGTGTGGGGTTACTAAAAGTATTATTCAGTGGGCTGAAGAGGAGTTGAGATGGTTTGGACATACAGAGATGATGAAGCAACATGTGATGATTTGGAGGGTGTATAAATGTGTAGTGGAGGGAAGGCAGGGTAGAGGTCACCCTAGGAAAAAGAGGGAGGGAGTAAAGAAGGTTTTGTGTGTGAGTGGAGGCAAATGGTTTCTGGGACCTGGTGAGCTGTTGGAGTGTGAGCAAGGTAACATCTTGTGAAGGGATTCAGGGAAACTGGTTACCCAGACTTGAGTGTTTAGTGTCATATTTAGATATCTGGATAAATAAGAAATATAAATACTACATAAATCATTAAGTTCCTGGCCCCCATCATGACCTAGGCTGCATTGTATTTATAATAATACAGTAATGTACTTTATTATGTTTACTGTGCTCATATGCAGTACATCAGTAACTTTTGTAGATACTGTAAACAGTCAGTTTATCAACATTTCATCATTATTTTTGCTAGATCGAAAAGATGGAGCAACAGCAGCAACAACACTATCAAGAAGCAGGTGGTGCTTTTGCACAGTCTGCTATTGTAGCTTCAAGAATGATGCATCCATACCAGGAGCAGCAACCCTTCCACTGCTCGGCTCTCACTTCAGACCCTCGTGGGCTTTTGGCACAGATCACTACATTAGTTAGTGAAAATGAAGAAATGAAGTCTAGACTAGAGGATAAGGAGAAGACTGTTATTTCACTTAATAATTCAGTTACACAGCTGCTCCAGAAGAATCAAAAGTAAGTGCTTGTTCCCCCCCCCCCCCCTCCAAAAAAAAAATTCTAGTGGTATTAAGACCAAAATAATTGAAATCTGTGTTAATACGGGTGTAGGAAATCTGATGAGCACATTTTAAAGGAAATTCTGTAGCTATTATTCAGTTTATGGGCTGAGCGTCAACCAGAAAGCACATAGATATCATAGAAAAAATTTACTTCAAAATCTATTTGCACCAAAAACATATGAACATATCATAAATAAAGACTGATGATGAAAGCGTTTGATAAACAAACAACAATATTGGCAAAAAATTACTCAGCTTAATCCATAAAAAGAAAAATATTGGCAAAAAAAATTACTGAGCTTAATCCATAAACAGAAAAAAAAATTCTTTAGTATTGTTCAAATTCATTTTCATAAGAAGATTGATGATTGTTTGAGTGCACCACAAACTACACTGAATGATCAGCAGCAAACTAATGTTATTTTTCAAAAACTGTTTCTGACAGAATGCTTTGGTGACAAATGAAAAAAATTGCTTATTTTCAGTGTTCTAGAATAATATTCTTTCCATTTGAATTCTCCATTCTTCAGTCACTTGCAAACTACGTAGTAGTTGACCATGAGGCTGAGGTAGAGGTCAAGCAAGACTATCAAATAATACCTGGAGGGTGTTCTGGGGGTCAGTGCTCCCGCAGCCTGGTCCATGGCTAAATATTCAATCATCGGATAATTATAATTGATGATTTGCTTGACTAATAAATTTAACTGTTTGCCTTATGAATTTAATACAGTTTATTCTAAATTTTATTTGATGGCAGACTATTAGAAGAAAAGACTGACATGTTAGTAGCAAAGCAACAACAAGCAGAGGAAGCAGTAACAAGTGTGAGCATAACAGAGCTGCTGAATCTGAGAGAGGAGAAAGCCACAATCGCTGCTCAACTTTCACTTGCCCAGAATCAGTGTGCTTCATTTCAGGTAGGTTAGTGTACATTTCTTCAAATTATTTAAATTTGACGCTGATAAATATACAGTGGACCCCCGACATTCGATGGCATCGACATTCGATAAATCTAACATTCGATGCATTTTAACGCAAAAATTTCGCCTCAACATTCGATGGAAAACCCGACATTCGAAACGAGTCGTATGAGACGTGTCCATGTGTGGCCTGAACTGCACCGTGTGTGCCAGTGCATACAAGCCAGCCAGTGTGCGCGCATCTAAGGATACATTCGGTACATTCCATATTATCCATATTAATACTGTTTTTGGTGCTTGTTTCTGCAAAATAAGTAACCATGGGCCCCAAGAAAGCTTCTAGTGCCAACCCTTCGAGAAAAAAGGTGCTAATGATTATTGAAATGAAGAAAGATAATTGCAAAGTACGAAAGTGGAGTGCGTGTGTTGGGGTGCATGATGATTTGGTAAAGAAATTGCCTGTGACTAGTGGTGATGTGAGTGAATTTAAGGCCAGAAAAGGTTGGTTTGAAAGATTTAAGAATCGTAGTGGCATACACAGTGTGGTAAGGCATGGTGAGGCTGCCAGTTCAAGTCCTAATGGAAGGGGATTCCCCTTCTAAACACTAACACCATCCACACTCTCCCCTCCTCCCATCCCATCAATCACCAGATCTTCATTGACCCATAAACGGTCCAAACGTATATATACGTTTTTTCAACATTTGAAAGTATGTAAAAAAAGTAGATCTTTTTTTTTTACATTTGAAAATGTGTAAAAAACTTTGATCTACTTTTTTTTTGTTATATTTGAAAATATGTAAAAAAAACGTAGATCTACTTTTGGAGCACTACACATGTGAACGTAGATCTGCTTGGACCGTTTACGGGTTAAAGGTAAGTGTCAATTATTCTGTTGTTATTAATCTATTGTTATTGTTGTTATTGTAATTATTCTATTGCATTAAACTTAATATTTCATGTGGTAAATTTTTTTTTTCATACTATTGGGTGTCTTGCACGGATTAATTTGATTTCCATTATTTCTGATGGGGAAAATTAATTCGACTTTCGATATTTTCAACATTAGATGGCTCTCAGGAACGGATTAATATTGAATGTCGGGAGTCCACTGTATATATATATCTTTCAACGCACCCACCGTATCCCACCGAGGCAGGGTGGCCCAAAAAGAAAAGCAAAATTTTCTCTTTTTAAATTTAGTAATTTATACAGGAGAAAGGGATACTAGCCCTTTGCTCCTGGCATTTTCGTTGCCTCTTACAACACGCATGGCTTGCGGAGGAAGAATTGTGTTCCACTTCCCCATGGAGGATATATATATATTATATATATATATATCTTTCTTTCTTTCTTTCAACAAACCGGCTGTTATTTTTAAACACATTAGCCGTCTCCCACTGAGGTAGGGTGACACAAAAAAGAAGAAACATGATCATCATTCACTCATCAGCATCTTGCCAGAGGCATGGCTACACTGCAGTTAAAAAAAACTGTGACATATCTCCACCATTCCTGATACAGACTTCTTTTTATCAATTTTCTTTCTGTAAAAAGCTTATATTACAGTAGCTAGCAGTAGCATGATGGCTTATTTTTATTGATAAGCTGTTCAGCACTAATGCACAGCCTATATATACTATATTCAAAATGTTCTTCCATAACATAAACAAAATATATTAGTCTGAAGGGCATGAAAGCAATATATTTACTGGATTTGCAAGCACAGCAGTCACACATTTTTAAATATAATAGAAATTATGAAAGATCTTTTGTGACTGCCATCTTAAACTTCAAAGAAACTTGGAAAACCACATGTAATATATGTATGTACTTCATCCAGTGTGTGTAAAGGTACAAAGTTGAAAGTGAACATAGAAAAGAGTAAGGTGATGAGGGTGTCAAATGATTTAGATAAAGAAAAATTGGATATCAAATTGGGGAGGAGGAGTATGGAAGAAGTGAATGTTTTCAGATACAGTGGACCCCCGGTTTACGATCAGCTCCCAATACGACCAATTATGTAAGTGTATTTATGTAAGTGCCTTTGTATATGTATGTTTGGGGGTCTGAAATGGACTAATCTAATTCACAATATTCCTTATGGGAACAAATTCGGTCAGTACTGGCACCTGAACATACTTCTGGAATGAAATAATATCGTAAACCGGGGGTCCACTGTACGTACAGTACTTGGGAGTTGACGTGTCGGCGGATGGATTTATGAATGATGAGGTTAATCATAGAATTGATGAGGGAAAAAAGGTGAGTGGTGCGTTGAGGTATATGTGGAGACAAAAAACGTTATCTATGGAGGCAAAGAAGGGAATGTATGAAAGTATAGTAGTACCAACACTCTTATGTGGGTGTGAAGTTTGGGTTGTGAATGCAGCAGCGAGGAGGGGTCAAAATATACAAGCCAATTAACCTTCTGAGTTTGTCTCCATGTGGGTTATTATTAAGCATATATGTGCTTCCGTTTTATTTTGTATTTTACTTTGTAAGTAAATATTTCTTATTTGCAGAGTAAAAACACAAACATTGACTAAAATATATCAAGTGAGTTTGGAAATATAAATACCGTAGAAAAAGCCAGATAAAGACAAGAGTCATGTAAGGTTCAAACAAATATTGCAAGATATGCTCTATTAAAGCTATTGCTCCTTTTTTTGGAGCCTTTCAAGAGAGGGGAGTGGTTTGATTCTGGTAAAAGCTCTTGATCCAAGGAAGTAGAGTTCTCATTCACTTCTCAATCCCCATACTGATTCAGTGCTTCTCCATGAATTTGCTAATTTCTTGTTTTTTATTTTTGACATAAATGAAAGAACAGAGTGTAGAGATCCACTCAGTTAGTACTTTGTTTGTACATTGTCATATTCTACTGTTGATGTCTTAACTTGGTGGCAATGGTAAATTTTTTTTAAATTTTTGTTGCTCTTCCTAGTTGAATTAAAAGTAATCTTTCTATTTTATTTTATATTCAAATTCCTGTGCTGCTGTATTGGATTATATTTTAGAATAGAATATATTTTATATGAATATTTAATAAGTAATTATCACTCATTGACTTGAGACTTTTTTACTCCAGTATTGTAATACAGCATAAATTTTATAACAGGATGAATTATCTCGGTTTAAGGCAAGTACGGAAACTCAACAGAGAGATATTCAAGACTTGAAAACTCAGATCCAGTTAGAGCAAGCAAAAGGACTACAGCACCAGGAAAAACTGCTTAAAGAAAATAATGGTCTTGAAGAAAAACTACAAAGTCTGCAGTTAGAGAAAGATAGTATGAAAAGGCTACTCGACACAACTATGGAAAGTCAACAGACGTTACAAAAAGAGTTATCAGGTATGACTGATAAGAAGACAAATGTAGAACAGCAACTTCAAATTGTTCGAACTGAGTGTGAAAAGCTTAAGATGCAGGCTGAGGATGCAGAGTCTAGAGTTCAGTCCTTAATGCAGCAGGTGAAAGAGGTAAATAGAAAATGTTTGTTCTACTAAAGACCACACTTCTTTCTTTCAACAAACCGGCCGTATCCCACCGAAGCAGGGTGGCCCAAAAAAGAAAAACGAAAGTTTCTCTTTTTAAATTTAGTAATTTATACAGGAGAAGGGGATACTAGCCCCTTGCTCCCACTTTCCACACTTGTGTTATCTTTATTATTCTTATTGCTCCAACAGGGCAGGGTGTGATGTTGTCTTAAGCTAGTTTGATAAGGCTCTGATGGTACTCTCTTTGATATTTGATGATTGATTAACGGTAGTTTGTTCTTTGTGATCCTCATACCCAGATACTGCATGAGAGAGATGGATAGATAAGTGTTTATACATTTTTTTTAACGCACCGGCTGTCTTCCTCCGAGGTAGGTTTTATACATTTTTTTTTTTATTATTTTATTAACACATCGGCATTTTCCCACCAAGGTAGGGTGACCCGAAAAAGAAAAACTTTCACCGTCATTCACTCCATCACTGTCTTGTTAGAGGTGCACTTACACTACAGTTATAAAATTGTAACATCAACACCCGTCCTTCAGAGTGCAGGCACTGTACTTCCCATCTCCAGGACTCAAGTCCAGCCTGCCGGTTTCCCTGAATCCTTTCATAAATATTACCCTGCTCACACTCCAACAGTACGTCAAGTCCAAAAAACCATTTGTCTCCATTCGGTCCTATCTAACATGCTCATGCATGCCTCCTGGAAGTCCAAGCCCCTTGCACACCAAACCTCCTTTACCCCCTCCCTCCATCCTTTCCAGGGCCAACCTCTACCCCGCCTTCCCTCCAGTACAGATTTATACACTCTCACAGTCATTCTATTTTGTTCCATCCTTTCTATATGTCTGAACCACCTCAGCAACCCCACCTCAGCCCTCTGGATAATATTTTTGGTAATCCTGCACCTCCTCCTAATTTGTAAACTACAAATTCTCTGCATTATATTCACACCACACTTTGCCCTCAGACACGACATCTCCACTGCCTCCAGCCATCTCCTTGTTGCAACATTCACCACCCATGCTTCACACCCACATAAGAGCATTGGTATAATTATACTCTCAAACATTTCCCTCGTTGCTTCCATTTACAAAGTTCTTTGTCTCCAGACTTTTCAGTGCACCACTCACCTTTTTCCTCGTCAATTCTGTGATTCACCTTGTCTTTCATAGACCCATCTGCTGACACGTCCACTCTTAAATATCTGAATACATTCATCTCCTCCATACTCTCTCCCTCCAACCTAATATCCAATCTTTCATTACCTAATTTTTTTTATCTTTATCACCTTACTCTTTCCTATATTCACTTTCAATTTTATTCTTTTACATACCCTGCCAAACTCATTCACCAACCTCTGCAACTTCTCTTCAGAATCTCCCAAAAGCACAGTGTCATCAGCAAAGAGCAACTGTGACAACTCCCACTTTGTGTTAGATTCTTTATCTTTTAACCTCAAACCTCTTGCCAACATCCGAGCATTCACTTCTCTTACAACCCCATCTATAAATATATTGAACAACTATGGTGACATCACACATTCTTGTCTAAGGCCTGCTTTTACTGGGAATAAGCTCCCTCTCTCCTACATACTCTAACCTAAGCCTCACTAGCCTTTGTAAAAGTTTTCACTGCTTTTGATAACCTGCCTCCTGTTCCATACATTTGCAACATCTGCTACACTGCTCCCTTATCCACCCTGTCATATGCCTTTTCCAAATCCATAAATGCTACAAAACCCTTTTTGCCCTTATCTAAATACTGTTCACCTATGTTTCTGTTTTTCTTTTTAGGTCACCCTGCCTTGGTGGGATATGGCCGGTTTGATAAAAAAAAGAAAAAGAAAGTGAAATCCCTTTTTTTTCAGGTCACCCTGCCTGTGGGAGAGAGCCTGTGTTAAAAAAAAATGTGGTGCTGGTATCTCCTTGAATCCTACTAAATTTGTAATGCACTGTATTATGAAAGGATGACTGTCACATTTAGTATCCATAACCCTGCTTTCTGCTATATTTTCTCATCCTGTCCACACTAGTGTCTTCCAGCCCCACGAAATGGGAAAGAGCTTATTTACTGTCTCCCACATCTACATCATTCATGTCAGTGTTGCTCACATAGATATATTTTAAGCACAGTACCCTCAAATATGTTGAGAGGTAAATTTTGGTCTAAATATCAGAGAATGGGTCTTTGCAGTGACTATGCGCAATATAAAAATAATCCTGCCCCACACAAGGCATGATGGGAAAAGCAAACCTCTGACCTTGTGTTTGGTTTAAAATAGTGACTTTGAGGTGTTTTCTAAGGTGGCTTTTATTTGGTTTACTGGCTGTTTCTTGGTATTAATTGATAGAATGGAAGACATAGTTTATAATAAGAGTTGATTTGGGTTGGTTTCAGACCGGAAGTATCATGCAATAGTGACGAAAATATTTGATTTTTAGCGATTTTTCCTGAGGAAGGCTTGGGCCCTCCTTACCTTCATACCTAGAGGGTGTTTTGGGGTCAATGCTCCTGTTGCCCAGTCCATGATCAGGCTTTGAATTTTTACTAAGTCTGCTTCAATTATTGGGACTGCCTAAACCATGATCAATCATTCTTAGTTATACTATTTTATTATCCAAGAAACAGGGTAAAACTCAGATTTTGTTTTTGTGTGTGATGATAAATTCAAAATGGAGGGCAAGTGTTATATAGGAGAGACCTGGAGGCAAGATTAATGAGCAGAGGAAAGGTTGTTTTAGTTCCTGGAATGTCTACAGTGTTCATTATTTATTATACCTTAACTTATGTATCTTAATAAATTAGAAATTTATTCATCAATCCGTTTCTTTATCTTTTAGGAAAAAGTACAAAGAAACAGCGCAGAAAGCAGGAGTGAAATGCATTTTAAAAGCCAACATGAGGAGATTCTACAGACGCAAAAATCTAGAATCAGTCAGGTAATATTTATCTAGAGGTATTTTAAGAAGTAAATGTTATAGTAATGGCAAGGGATAAGATAATTCAAGAGATCATTGTTTCTGTATAAGATTTTCATAATTGTTTTCTTGATTACCCAAACAACAGTTGGAGCAGAAAGTCCTACAGTTACAATCTTATTGTTCTGAGATAGAGGAAGAAAAGGTCAAGAATATCAGTATACATGAGGTCAGTCATCCTTCTGTCTGTCTATAGAAATCTGCCGGTTATTTGTTTTGCAGTTTAACTCATATAAGCCATGTGAAAAACAGGTGCAAAGGCTACAGGTTACAACATTGTAGCAGTGTTATAACTTTTATATGTTTTCAGTACTACTTTTGTTGTGAATTATTTATAAAATTAGATGATTTATAAATTTAGATGGTTAAACCTATACAGTAACAAAATTACATATGTAAAGGCATGTTGTAAGAGTGTTAAGTGTAAATATTTTTCTAGATACAGTTACAGAAGCTAGCAGCTCAGAAAACTTCATTAGAGGAGATGGTACAACAACTGCAGAAGGTCACCCCAAACCAGTCAAGTCCTACAAAGAGTCCTGAAGTAACAGTAGAGATGGTGAAGAAGGTCATGAATGTTGTGTATCGCACCCTCAAAGCCCAGTTCCTCCCTGAGAAAATGTACTCTGGATCTGAGGTCCTGCAAGCATTGTTGAGTGTTATAAGGGTAATGTTTCATCATTTTTCTTTTAGTTTATTATTTATACCAAAAAGTAGTTTTTCACTCTTTTGAAATATTGCCATTCAGTCTCACAGAATATTCCTAAAAATTCAAGCTAGGTAAAATTGTTTCCATAATTTTAAACATAACTTAGTATATGAAAATCCTTATTTTAATAAAAAATAACCCACACACAGGAGACCAAACTTGTGATGACATTTCGGTCCAACTTGTTAATGGTCCTAGATGGACCAAAATGTCATAAGTTTCACTCTATGTACAGGTTATTTGTGTACTGTTCCAGTCACGGTATTGTTGCCCATTTGTTCCTCATCTTATTAGACACATTATTATTATTTTTACAGTGGCCCAGTGACAAAAGCTCTCGCTTCACAAGCTGAGAGTCCGGGTTTGATTCCCGGCAAAGGTTGGAAACATTAGGTGTGTTCCCTTACACCGGTTGCCCATCAGTAATAATGGGTACCTGGTTATTCAACTGGCGTGGGTCGCATCCTGGGACAAAAGTGACCTAATTTGCCTGAAATGCTCTGCATAACAAGCGGCTTTCTATATAGTAGTATGTCATTGATGTCGGCTAGGCCTGTATACCTTGTACATGTACTTGTAAAAATAAGGATCTTCTTACGACAAACTGGCCATTTCCCAACGAGGCAGGGTGACCCAAAAAGAAAGAAAATCCCCAAAAAGTATCATCAGTGTCATCATCATTCAACACTTTCACCTCACTCAAACATAATCACTGTTTTTGCAGAGGTGCTCAGAACACAACAGTTTAGAAGTATATACGTATAAAGATACACAACATATCACTCCAAACTGCTAATATCCCGAACCCCTTCTTTAGAGTGCAGGCATTGTACTTCCCATTTCCAGGACTCAAGTCATTATTATATTATAATCAAAATTAAGTGCTACACCCACAAGGGTCATACAGCACTACTTATTAGATCTATCAAATGTGGTGAGAGTAACCTTTTATCTACCCATGATAATTATCATGTCTACTAGAGTTGGTCCCAGTGTTACTTCATCTGTCTGTACACTCAGCTTATTATTAAAGTAAAGACTGAATCACTAACTGCTAGCTGAAACTATTTTTTAAATTATTTTCTATTTAAATCTTCAACTCAGTATATATGAGCAAATAAACCATTAATACAGATACCTATTGTCTATTTTAGTTATGGTATGAAAACTGGCCATAACTAGATTGGACTAATGATATTCTTCGTCTTTCAACAAACTGGCCGTATCCCACCAAAGCAGGGCGGCCCAAGAAGAAAAACAAAAGTCTCTCTTTTTAACTTTAGTAATGTATACAGAAGGGGTTACTAGCCCCTTGCTCCCAGCATTTTAGTCGTCTTTTACGACTCGCATGGCTTATGGAGGAAGAATTTTGTTCCACATCCCCATGGAGAAGCTAATGATAAATTTGACAAAAATCATATGAATTTTTAACAATACATTACGGAATACCTGCAGAATAGTGATGATAAATTGAAGTTGAATGTATCCCTAGCAACAAAATAGGCAAAATGGGACTCTTTATTTATGAATCTGTGGTAGTCCATATGTGACACCAAAATTATAAATTATCATGTCATTAACTTAAAACTGAGTCTGTAGAATAATGTCAGTTTCAATGATGAGGTTATGTGCACACCTAATGGCTCATTTACACTATCATTTCCTTCCATGAGCACAGGTTGCTGATTATGTATACGTATTTGCCTATTTTAGAATATGCTTTTATATTTGTATTTAATTTGCATTTAGTTGTCCAGTGGGTACAAATTTGATTTTGTTTCTAGTTTATCCAGTTAGTATTTTATGTTTATTTTCAGCAATTAATCCTTATGGTATTGCTATATCTTGGCATATTTTTATTGATAATTTTGAATAATCCACAGGAAACGACTCTGAAACTGGTAGAGGATCTTCAAAAAACAAATTCAACAGCAGAAAGTTCATTAGCCCCACAAGATCATATGAGTAGTGAATCAACAACAACTTTAGGTACTAAAGGGAAATCTGATGAAACTAATTTGGAAAAATCAAATAGAATTTCGGGTCAAGTAAAGAGTAATATAAATGATGTTAAAAATCAAAGCAAAGCCAATGAAGAATTGAAAAGGATGGAGACAAAAGAACAAAATGCTCAGAAAGAAGAAAAATCAGCATCTACAAAGAATTCAGGTGAGGATACAGTGCATAAAGGTGATGTTGCTATAACAGAACTTAAAGAAGATTTATTAAGTAATTCAGGGAGCAAAGATGAGACCACACTTTCCTTATGCGAGTCCATAGACTCTAGACTTGGTAATTGTTCTCATAAAATGTTAGTAAATAATACTGTTAGTAGAAATATTAATGATTGTCAAACATTGAGCCCTCCCAATAGTTTAGGAAATGAACAGAAGGGAGATGGGGCTCATGGAGTCATCCAAGCAAAAGAAAACGAAGAAGAACCTCTGAAATCTATAGAAGACAGTAATAAAGAACTAAGACATCCTGTTATTGATATGGAAAATACAGAAGTAAGAAAAGCCTCTGAAAAATCTGACAGTTCAAGGGATTCCTCTTTAGAGAGGGTAAGTGCTGCTAGCATTTGAACTTAGGAAACAGCTGCTTTTGCTGATTGAATCTCACTGTAATTTTGAATGTTTTGCACTTGGGTACCTTACTAAAAAAATTAACTTCAAATTGCATGCAGTCAGTAAAGTTTTGGTCTACTGACAATGGTTGGTGCATGGTGCATATCTCAAACCTTTGGGTGCTAGCTACTTTTGGTAAATATGCACTCTGTATTTTAACATTACTGAAACTGCAGTTTTCAGTACTTTTGCCTTGCTGAAACTGGTGTCAGTCACCAATATACTTGCAAAGGTTGCCTGTGTATATTGTAAAAATTTATTGCATATTGTTACTAAGGCATAATATGGGGTCAGCTTGGTGTAGTTTTCTAATCATAAGTAGGTAGATGGGTATTTGTTTGTTGTGCTTATTTTTAATGGGGAAATTCTAATCCCATAGGGGTCATGTAGTGGATTAAGACCCCCCTTACTAACATCAAGGCACCTTCCTTGAGTATTTATTGTACAATATTCTATTGTAAATAGAGTTGAATTCTATCTCAATGTATTAATGTCCAGTCTCTCTCAAGGTATTTAAAAGTATTTTGCCCTAAATAGGAAAGTGCTAACTATAACTGGTACCCATTGTTTTTGGTCATATGAGCTTATGGATTATCGGTACTTATCCTCCATAGAAAATCTCAGACAGGTTAAGAAATATGATGCATAACATATCAACACACACAGCTATCCCTACTACCTGACTTGCATCATTGCCTTGAAACATTAGTCTTAAGTCTTTCATATAACATTTGTTTTTGTACCTCTATTTCATAAACTAAAAAAAGTCAATTTTACATATATAGTAGATCATTTGAACTGCGATTTCCATACATTTTTAACAAGACAGCTAGGAATGGTGAATATGATCTCACTTGGGTCACACTACCTTAGTAGGAAATGACTAACATAATACAAATGATGCTTAATATTGCTCCTACTGGGAAAAATAAGTTGATGCATCACCAAAAATATATTCACATTCATTTGTATTCATTCATATGTACATATTCTATCTCCACATTCCAACATTGTCAAACATTTGGCATCTTTGATAAAAAAAAAAATAAGCAGGCTCTCAGAATTTAATCTTCTAGAATGACTATTGCATCACTTGCCTGTTAATGAACAGGTGAGACAAGACATATGGTGTTCTTCATGTTTCACATATGTGGCTCATTTATTTATTTTTTAATTTTCCTTTCCTGTTGCCCATTTATATAATTTCCTTTATTTATCTGACCTGGTATTTGTTAATTTTATCTATTTCATTTACATTACACCTAGCTCATTTAGCTCAACTCAGATTTATATTACCTTCCTGTTACTCCTTTCCTGTTGCCCATTTATATAATTTCCTTCATTTATCTGACCTGCTATTTGTTAATTGTATCTATTTCATTTACATTATACCCAACTCATTTAGCTCAATTCAGATTTATTTTACCTTCCTGTTACTCATTGAGTTTACCTGTAACAGTAACCCCATTTACTTCACCCAAGATGCCTCTACTCCACCAGTAACCCATTAACATTATCTGTGATCCATTAGCCTCATCTGTGATCCATTACCCCCACCTGTGGCTCAGTTAATTTACATTTCTTAATTTATTATGGTTGTAGCACTTTCATATACAAGAATGTTGTTTGTTTTGGGTGAAAACCTTAACTTGGTTGTTTCATTGCTGGGTGACCTACACGGGTATACTGGTGCTCCTGGACTTACAATGGGGTTATGTTCCAACGAAGCCATCGTAAATTGAATATATCATAAGTCAGATATGAATATATGATATGATAAGTAAATAACTACTGTCATTGAATAAGTAAATAAACAAATAATTACCGTAACTAACTAAATACAAGTCTATTCTATCAATAAATGTACAGTACAAAAAAGGTTTACAGTAGATTAGAAAAGGCTTCAGTTTAAAACCTGCAACATTTCCACCCAGAAGCAGCATTACACCATCTTTGAGTGTCTTGAATCCCAGCAAATCAAAATTCAAAGTTTGATGACTACTGAGTATGCATCGCTATCGCACCAACGTAAAGTTGAAATATCATAAGCTGGACCATTATAAAGGGAGGAGCATCTGTAGTGCATTTTAATTATAATAATAATAATAATTAATAATAATAAAAATTACCTTGGTGTGGGAGCATCTGAAGAACTGTAATCTGGGAGTAAATTAATCACATGAAATATAACTAATAAATACTGTCATGGTACTCATAAAAATTCAAGTTAAAAACCATAATTTGAATGATATTCATAAGATTATTCACAAAATGTTTTATGGCTAATTGAAATCACTGATGTTGCAGGAGTGGCGACCCCGGCCCCCAACACCACCACTCTTCGGCGATGATGATGATGATGACGACGACTGGCTTTCCTGAGTGTAAGATTGGTATAAACTGTAAGAAATTCTCTTGCTGTTTATGTCTATGGAGGTTATAACAAATGTATTTTGAATGGATGATAGACTGTTGACTTGCATTTTGTAAAGAAAGTCATTGTGACACATTGGAAGCAGTAGCAATATTCAGTATGTTTAACCCTGAATGTTATGTGAATTGCATATATAGTTAGAAATTTATATTTTCATATACCTGGAGTATACCTGGAGAGGGTTCCGGGGGTCAGTGCCCCCGCAGCCCAGTCCAGTGGTATAACTTCCAAATTTCACTTTAAATTACTTTTGTATTTATGTGTTTGTTAGGAAGGAAACTCAAAGACTGAAGAGAACAACTCTCAGACAAGAGAAAAGAAATGAACTGGAGTAGGCATTGCACACATGTTGTCAGAAGCACACACAAGCAGGATAACATCATTTGTATAAGCTTAGCAGCTAAACATAAGTATATCCTTCAGAAACAAGAACAAAAAACTCATTCATGTTGCTCTTCACCACACCTTGTATGTGTTGTACAATCAGCGTACTAGAATGCAGCTCCACCATGGAACCTCTTTGTAACCAAATAAAATAAATGAAAGATAACAAAAAGTAAAGTTCCTTCTACTGGAGGAATACAGATCAGGAAGAAGAGAGATAATTATGACAAAAAATACTCTGGGGGCACAGAAAGAGTAGAAGAGGACAGACACTTTAGCATAGCAGGGTCAAAGATGAGGGAATGAATGTTCATTGAAGTTGACTATCCAAACAAAGATGTTAGGAAGCATTTCTCTAGTTTAAGATTAGCCAAAAAGTGGAATGAGCTAGACAGTACATATAATATTACAGGCTGACTCCATACCTAATTTTGAAACCATAAGACTTTAGAACATCAGTCAGTTTAAAGTTAAGGGGTGGGCTGAAGAACTGAATTTAAACCCCAAACGCTTAAATAGTTTACATAAAGATAATTTTATTTATGAAAAGGTGTTTGTGTGCCACAAAAAGTGACTTTAGAACATTATAGCAGAGCAGGAAGTGGTATGTTTTCCTACTGTGTTCAGTTAGGAAAACCGCTAAAAACATTTTACTTAAATGGATTTATCTTAGTTTTCCACGTGGTTTAAGCCCATATCAAGTATTTTTGTATATTACCGTAAAGTGATGAGAGAACAAGTGTTGACCAAAAAAACTGGGTCGAGATAGCACTAATTGTTGCTCAGTTAGATAGGTTGCAAAGAATACTGATCAATATTTGTAATTTTTATTTACAATTAAGAGGCATTTTACATCTCTGATTTATTATAGAACATAATGTACAGCATTATCTAAGGATAATGTTCTCTTTATATATATATATGCCAAATATATTTTGATAAGGTGTAGGATATTTAAGGGATTTGTTAAATTGAAGTTATATTACTGCAGGTAGTAGGATCAATACTGATAAATTGATAAATTCAGGTATTGTATTTTGGTGCACTGGTTTGACACATTCCTGCTAGTGTTAGGGTACAGTATATTATGTCTGCTTTAGTTTCATTTTTTTTATATATACAGTAATATACAAAAAATCTCTGTGTGGGATCATGTATAAAGCTTAGCTGTTTTCAGAGCTATTGACATATTAATCATTGCTTTACTCATGATAGGTTTAGCACGTTTGTGAATACATACTGTATACAATTTATTCGTAACTGTGCGTAAATTTATTGGTTGTACTTGTATTTCTTTGTACTTTATGCTGAGAGGCCTAACTATAATATTACGAATTAAAAAACAGAAGTGCGTTTTCTATTTTGACTTCATGATGATTGTTGTTATACAGTAATAATAATACTACAGCATTGTAGTTTGCTTTACTACTAATACATACTACAGTACTGTAGTTTGCTTAACTACTGATACATACTACAGTATTGTAGTTTGCTTTACTACTAATACATACTACAGTACTGTAGTTTGCTTAACTACTGATACTGGCTGATTTGAGATCAGTAGTGTAACAATACTGTATATGCTTATACAGTACATACAAAGAGGATTTAGTGTCGTGAAGAATTAGCATTCTTGTTATGGAATTACGTTAATTAAATTATGAGATTAATATATCAGGATTCTCTTCATCTCAACTTTTATTGATAAGTTAAGTAGATGCTAAAATGCCTTTAGGTTTGACCCTTTTTTTTAATAAACCATCCCTCTTAATTAAATTATCATAGTTTATGCACGTTTCAAATTTTCGGCTGCATGAAATTGTGAAAACACACAAACTCTGAAATTGGTAGGGCTTTGTTTTCTCCAGGCTGAGTGTCAGACATTGTATGTACCTTAACTGAATCTTTAAAAACTCTGTGTTTATGGATTAACAGGCATTTAACTGCCAGAATGTGGCTGTATTTTTTTTAAATCATACTTAAGTCAACCAATGAATTCAAGTACGTATTATTGTAATCCAGGTGACAGTACTTGTAAAAAAATATTACTCATGGTTACAGTAACTATTAATGTAATTGGCAGCCCCTCAGGGAGGTTCCTCGATGCTGGCGAGGGGCTCTTGATCTGTCATCAGACCTATCCTCCCTTATATCCAACCCTTTTGTTTCCCATTCCCCTAGTTGCTGTATAATCCCCAACAGGATGTAATGTTTCCTCATGAATGTACTATGGTAATAATGACACTGGTGAGGGGCTCTTAATCCAAAGAATTGGACCTGATCTCCCATTCCCTGGATCATATCTGATTGCTTCCCATTACCCCCCCCCCAGGTATTGCATGGCCCATACAGGTTTAGGACTCCCCATGAATGTAATAATAATTAATTTGCAAATTAATCATTTCTCTTTATACCCTGTAAATTTTAAGATTATGTTCACCTTAGAGAAATGAAGAGCACTATATACAGGACTCTGCACACAAAGACCCCTTGATATCACTGAGGGGGCTCTTGATCCAAAGAATTAGACCTGTCTTCCTTTGGATCAAACCTGACTGCCTCCTATTTCAATGCTGTATGACAGATAGGGGTTTAGCACTTCCCCACAAATATATAATACTGTACTTGTGCAGTAGAGAGTCAGTTTCCACATCCAGACCCTCAGCCTCCTGGCAAGGACAACCCTAGCCACTTCAGGTAACAGCTTGTATAATTTCCTCCACAAACAGGTAGATACTTCTGGAAATATGTCTAAACAGGCTGATTACCTATTTTTATAAAGCAGACAGGCCATACATTTTCAAAATCAATCCTTTATCTATACAGTACTATATATAAATATATAGACTTATTGTAAATTTCTGATACCAATATTTATTTACACATTTCAAATCATATCACATTCCTGTCGTGCAAGTAGCCAGCTACATTTTACTATTTTCTTTTATTTAATTATACAGCAAACTTGGTTTTATTAAGTCATGTGCAAATTTTTTTTCTTAACTTGCAAAAATTCCACTGGTGTGGTAATTTATTCATCAGTACGAATACATTCATAATTACCTTTGTTTTTTAATGCTACAGTATATACATCAGCTGCATATTAAGTAGGGATCTATGAGTGTATGAAATATGGTACTGTACTCATGATTTCACATATCCAAGGAATAAAGTATGGATGAAATATCCATACACCTACATTATTATTCTGTTAAAGTGTGTAATACTGGAGATATGTCATGCTAATTTTATTACACTATACAATATTATATGTACATTACAGTATACTAGATCTGATCGAGTTTTTACTTAAGCTGTGTCAAAAAATTTACATGTTAATTTTATAAAGTCATTGGCCAGATCTATAGGAGCAATATTTACACAAGTAAATAAAGGTATTTTATACCAATTGCATACATTTAATTTGCATCTATAGATTACTTCAGTACATGTTTTAAAATACAAAAATAAATACCCTTTATTCAAAAAAATTTAACCATTTATAAAAAATAATTATAGAATCATTATAAAGTAAAATAAAAATTACACTTCATTGAAATTAAACTGCATACTGACTTTCAGTAATTAATACATTTACAACAAAGATGATCTAAGTTGGGTGGTCAAATTTTATATTAAACCCCAAAACTTGTAACTGTATTCAAGAAATAAAACACTTCCAGCATACAATACAAACTATTTTTACAAGTTTCTTACATGGAGACATGAATGATGTAAAGTAAAAGGACACAAGTGCAACTAATGCAACATTTTTGCAACAATAAAATGTCACATTAGTTGCACTCGTATCCTTTTACTTAACGTACTGTTGGTAATTCTACCAACATTAATACATGAATGATGTAAGGGCATGTTAACCTGAGATGGGGCAATAATTAAACCTGCTTAGAAGAGTTGTTAAACAAATATAAGCTGCAGTGACATAGAAAACTGACAAAGAGTTAGCTGCAGTTTCAAAATGTTGTACCGAGGATATGTTATAGCTGCAACATTCCCTTGGTAAAACATTATACAGTTAAGTAATTTAATAAAATGAAATATTTTATATCTGGTAACGAATAAAGCATTCATAAACTTGTGTCTTGAAGCACTTGTTATTTTTACACCATTGTACAGCATATAATTAAGATGCTCACGTACCAAAACTTATCAACAGACCTTGTCCTTTCAAGGAAGACTGCCTCAATACTGGTGAAGTGCTCTTGATCAAAGGACTTAGAGTAAGTTCCTCCCCCCCTTTTTTGGGGAGAATCAAACCTGATTATTCAGACACTGTACTACCCTTATTTGGTATCCCCAAAGGATTACCTTTAAAAGTTTGCCTGAATTTTTTTTATCCTTCCTCCAACTTTTCAATTTTATTTCCCTCATAACTCAAGAACCCCTCAGCCTATCAGATTCAAATTTTGAACACTTTTCTATGGTAATGAGGACCAGATTCTAGAAACAGCTTTCATGTGCAGGTGCTGTACGATCAAAAATATTGAACCTTATTCCCGGCATCCTGGACTGACTTGGATAACCTCTAGTGTTCAAAAAAGATGACTTAGCACTATTAATGAAAGTTACACTATAATAGGGCTCCTAAGAATTCCATTTCCCTTCTGTCTTGAAGATGGATTTCACAAAAGGGGCAAAATAAAAAATAATAAAGTCAAAAGGAGACGATGGGGGTATTTAGATTAGATCCAAGGAAGGGGAGAAGAGATCCAATTCCTTAGATCAAGGGATCCTCCAAGAAGTGGGACAACAAATATCTTTACAAATACTACATCCATACTAATGAAGTTAAAAGTTTAAGTACAAACTGTCATAAACTGCTAACTTATACACCAGTAACATTATTTCCTTTGAAAATCCACTGAGAAATTGAGAAAATATAATTACAATATGACCAGTTTCCTATAAGATTTTTTCCTTAATACAGTACTGCATTACATTTAGTAAATTACAATACAGAGGTATATAACTTATGTTAGTGGTAGTATGATGACAATAAATGGGGAAAAGAAGTTCTTCATATACCTAAACATTACAAATAATTCACAGAACAGACAGGATTTGAACCCATGGCAAGCCAGTTCTAAAATTAGTAGGCCAGTGCACTAACCACTACACCATGGCTTGCCAGCTTTACAACTCGTTTCACATAGGTTTGAATCCTGCCCTTTCCACGAGTTGTTTACAATCATAATTTTTGAGTCTACATACGTATAATCTTTGATGACAAGTTATAGTTGCCAAAAACAGTTATGAAACAATGAATCATTACCATAGAGTAACTAAAATGCAAATGACTTTTGCTGAGCTACAATGTTTGTATCACTTCATACTTGGGCTTTACACAGAAATGCAATCATCACATTATTCTACATACAATATATATATATACATATAGGAAAGGCATAATGTGGGTATAGTACTGTACACAACATGGTAAACTTTTCCTGCACACATTTATATTAATTACTGTTACACTTGGCTATAAATACACAAAGTAGATTTTGAAATAGCTGATCATGCACAATAATCATGTGCAGTACAATACTAGACTCTGTCAATTAACTTTTATACCTTTCCAAGAAGAGTAATATAAATATTAGGGTTTCTTATGGCTTAACGTTAAATTACTGCAGTTATGTAAACAAATGGAAGAGTATACCACAAATACATCAGATACCAGTTTATCACTTTATAAAGATACCAGTCACTAACCATTAGAATAAGGCATTAAATCTGCTTTGTATGAGGGATAAATCAATTATTCATATTTTTTTTATACTATAGTAACTATATTTAGAAAGGATGTTATAATAAAAAATAAACTAATATGGTAAGAGCATTCTATATTTATAAACCAAAACTGGCCTTTATGAATCTTGTGCAGTGATAGATCTTAACCCTAATAAAACTACTGTATAAATAAAAATTAATTTGATCAAGACTAAGAAGCTGTTTCCCATTGCAAAACAAAATCATGCATGCAAAATCCTATTCCAACATAATGGTCACTATAACCTCGGTAGTACTATAAAACTAACCATAATTGATAAGATAATATTGAATTGTTTTTGTTAAATAATTTAATCATTAGTTGCCCTCTAACTACAGTATAAGAAATTATTTTAGTATGAATAAAAGAATTACAGTAATCAAAACAGGTGAAATGATTAATAAGGTATAGTTGCCAGCTACTGAGATTTTGATACAATTCAGAAGAGAGGAGAGGCAATATAGTAACACAAAAATTTTAAATAACCTATATCTCCATGTGAAACTACTGACCTGATTCAACAAACTGTTGTGCTATACTTATTCATTCTTGTCATGAGGGTAGTCTGTAGTACCAGCGACTAGTTTTCTCACAATCTTCGAGTGTATTTGAAGAACTGGGCATCTTAAGAATTCATTTTGATTATCACTGGAACTGTAAAAAAACATAACATTAAAATACAGCAATATCAAGTGGCAATAAAGATGATTTAATACTGTATGAAAGTCAACTGAATATATTTAAAGTTTCCAACACAGTTGGAGTATTTATATTTCCATAGCCACTGCAAATTTCCAATTTCATCTTTTTGTTTTATGAATATAAAAGCATTCTCAGTTTTACATCACTAAAAATAGTTATTCTCAAGATACTGAAGGGAAATAAAACAGTATTAGAAGTCCTAAGAAAATCATAAAGGAATCCCTTTATCAGGGATACTTAACCTTTAAACTGTCAAAGCGTAGATCTACGTTCACGTGCGTAGCGCTCTGAACGTAGATCTATGTTTTATTTTACATGCTTTCAACCTTGGCACAATAGGCCTGAGTTACCTAGACATGAGAGAATGGGTCTGTGCACTCAGTGTGCGCAGTATGACAACATTTGGGGACGCCGGGAAAAATATGCTCTTCATTTGAAGTAAAAAAAAAAAAATTTCCCAAAATATTCAAAGCGCTACGCAAGTGAACGTGGATCTACGTCTGGACAGTTTAAGGGTTAACCCGTTGATTGTCCATCACGTAAGACTACAACACTGATGAATGGGTTCATCACACAGAACTACGTCACTGATGCCTGGGTTCATCACACAGATGACATCATTGATGCCTGGGTTCATCATGTAGAACTACGTCACCGATGCCTGGGCTCATCACGCAGAACTACAGCACTGACGACAGGGTCCATCACGTAGAATTACGTCACTGATGCAAGGGTCCATCACGTAGAACTCTCATTGACACTAGGGTCCATCACATACAATTGTCATTGATGCCAGGGTCCATCATGTACATAGATCTATGTCATGTGCTCAGCTCACTCAGACAAGCTGTGAGCGGTAATTTTGGCCTAGATATGAAAGAATGCGTCTGTGCATGATGGGAAAGCAAAACTCTGACCTTGTGTTTGGTTTAAAATTGACTATGAGGGGTTTTCTAGGATGGTTTCTATGGTTTTATTGGCTGTTTCTTGGTATCATATGACAGATAAACCTCCTACTAAAATAGAGAAGATTTTTAATTGGTTCCAGGGCCAGAAGTAGCATAAAATCAGCCTCAAAATAGTTGAAATATTTGATTTTTGCCAATATTCCTGAGGAAGGGTAAAGACTTCCCTTCACCCATGTCTGTTTTATTTACTTTTAGTAAGTCTGATTCAATTATTGAGATGCTGTAAACCATGATAATCATTCCTGGTTATATTTTATTATCTGAGCATAGAGTAAATTTATTTTTTTGTGTGATGGTGTATTCAAAATGGAAGGAAAGTGTAATATAAGAGAGGCCTGAGTACATAATTACTGCAGAGAGGAAATAGTGTTTACCTGGAGAGAGTTTACCTGGAGAGAGTTTCGGGGGTCAACGCCCCCGCGGCCCGGTCTGTGACCAGGCCTCCTGGTGGATCAGCGCCTGATCAACCAGGCTGTTGCTGCTGGCTGCACGCAAACCAACGTACGAGCCACAGCCCGGCTGATCAGGAACTGACTTTAGGTGCTTGTCCAGTGCCAGCTTGAAGACTGCCAGGGGTCTGTTGGTAATCCCCCTTATGTGTGCTGGGAGGCAGTTGAACAGTCTCGGGCCCCTGACACTTATTGTATGGTCTCTTAACGTGCTAGTGACACCCCTGCTTTTCATTGGGGGGATGGTGCATCGTCTGCCAAGTCTTTTGCTTTCGTAGTGAGTGATTTTCGTGTGCAAGTTCGGTACTAGTCCCTCTAGGATTTTCCAGGTGTATATAATCATGTATCTCTCCCTCCTGCGTTCCAGGGAATACAGGTTTAGAAACCTCAAGCGCTCCCAGTAATTGAGGTGTTTTATCTCCGTTATGCGCGCCGTGAAAGTTCTCTGTACATTTTCTAGGTCGGCAATTTCACCTGCCTTGAAAGGTGCTGTTAGAGTGCAGCAATATTCCAGCCTAGATAGAACAAGTGACCTGAAGAGTGTCATCATGGGCTTGGCCTCCCTAGTTTTGAAGGTTCTCATTATCCATCCTGTCATTTTTTCTAGCAGATGCGATTGATACAATGTTATGGTCCTTGAAGGTGAGATCCTCCGACATAATCACTCCCAGGTCTTTGACGTTGGTGTTTCGCTCTATTTTGTGACCAGAATTTGTTTTGTACTCTGATGAAGATTTAATTTCCTCATGTTTACCAAATCTGAGTAATTGAAATTTCTCATCGTTGAACTTCATATTGTTTTCTGCAGCCCACTGAAAGATTTGGTTGATGTCCGCCTGGAGCCTTGCAGTGTCTGCAATGGAAGACACTGTCATGCAGATTCAGGTGTCATCTGCAAAGGAAGACACGGTGCTGTGGCTGACATCCTTGTCTATGTCGGATATGAGGATGAGGAACAAGATGGGAGCTAGTACTGTGCCTTGTGGAACAGAGCTTTTCACCGTAGCTGCCTCGGACTTTACTCTGTTGACGACTACTCTCTGTGTTCTGTTAGTGAGGAAATTATAGATCCATCGACCGACTTTTCCTGTTATTCCTTTAGCGCGCATTTTGTGCGCTATTACGCCATGGTCACACTTGTCGAAGGCTTTTGCAAAGTCTGTATATATTACATCTGCATTCTTTTTGTCTTCTAGTGCATTTAGGACCTTGTCGTAGTGATCCAGTAGTTGAGACAGACAGGAGCGACCTGTTCTAAAACCCATGTTGCCCTGGGTTGTGTAACTGATGGGTTTCTAGATGGGTGGTGATCTTTGCTTCTTAGGACCCTTTCAAAGATTTTTATGATATGGGATGTTAGTGCTATTGGTCTGTAGTTCTTGCTGTTGCTTTACTGCCCCCTTTGTGGAGTGGGGCTATGTCTGTTGTTTTTAGTAACTGAGGGACGACCCCGTGTCCATGCTCCCTCTCCATAGGATGGAAAAGGCTCGTGATAGGGGCTTCTTGCAGTTCTTGATGAACACAGAGTTCCATGAGTCTGGCCCTGGGGCAGAGTGCATGGGCATGTCATTTATCGCCTGTTCGAAGTCATTTGGCGTCAGGATAACATCGGATAGGCTTGTGTTAATCAAATTTTGTGGCTCTCTCATAAAAAATTCATTTTGATCTTCGACTCTCAATCTGGTTAGCGGCTTGCTAAAAACTGAGTCATATTGGGACTTGAGTAGCTCACTCATTTCCTTGCTGTCATCTGTGTAGGACCCATCTTGTTTAAGTAGGGGCCCAATACTGGGCGTTGTTCTCGATTTTGATTTGGCATAGGAGAAGAAATACTTTGGGTTTCTTTCGATTTCATTTATAGCTTTTAGTTCTTCCCGCGATTCCTGACTCCTAAAGGATTCTTTTAGCTTAAGTTCGATGCTTGCTATTTCTCTGACCAGTGTCTCCCTGCGCATTTCAGATATTTTGACCTTTTAGCCGCTCTGTTATTCTTTTCCGTCGCCTGTAAAGGAGCGCCTGTCTCTTTCTATTTTACATCTACTCCTCCTTTTTCTTAGAGGAATAAGCCTTGTGCATACATCGAGTGCCACCGAGTTAATCTGTTCTAGGCATAAGTTTGGGTCTGTGTTGCTTAGTAAAATCTTCCCAGCTTATATCGGTTAGGACTTGGTTTTACTTGGTCCCACTTTATGTTTTTGTTATTGAAGTTGAATTTGGTGAATGCTCCCTCGTGACTAGTCTCATTTTGTCGGTCTGGGCTCCTCGCATACATGTCTGAACCTCAATTATGTTGTGATCTGAGTATATTGTTTTTGATATGGTGACATTTCTTATCAGATCATCATTGTTTGTGAATATGAGGTCTAGTGTATTCTCCAGTCTAGTAGGCTCTATTATTTGCTGGTTTAAATTGAATTTTGTGCAGAGATTTAAAAGCTCGTGTGAGTGTGAGTTTTCATCAGAGCTGCCTCCTGGTGTTATTACTGCAACAATATTATTTGCTATATTCCTCCATTTTAGGTGCCTTAAGTTGAAATCCCCCAGGAGCAAGATGTTGGGTGCAGGAGCTGGAAGATTTTCCAGACAGTGGTCAATTTTTAACAGCTGTTCCTGGAATTGCTGGGATGTTGCATCCGGAGGCTTGTAGACTACCACAATGACTAGGTTTTGGTTCTCGACCTTTACTGCTAAAACTTCCACTACGTCATTTGAGGCATTAAGCAGTTCTGTGCAAACAAGTGACTCTGCAATGTACAGGCCAACCCCCCCCTTTTGCCTGTTCACTCTGTCACATCTGTATAGGTTGTAACCTGGGATCCATATTTCATTGTCCAAGTGATCCTTTATGTGGGTCTCAGTGAAAGCCGCGAACATTGCCTTTGCCTCTGCAAGCAGTCCACGGATGAAAGGTATTTTGTTGTTTGTTGCTGGCTTTAGACCCTGTATATTTGCAAAGAAGAATGTTATCGGACTGGTGGTATTGTTTGTACTGGGGGGGGATTTTTTTTCCGGCATTAGTATCTGTATCTGTTGGTATGGAGTGGAGGCCATCGACTGTGGTTCCAGTACCTTTAATGTCTACAGTTTTTATTTTGGATTTTTGCTTTATAAATTGAACGTTTTTTAATTTTGCATAAAATTTGCCAAGTTTATGAATTATGTGCAGTTTATAGGGTAGTTTTGATATCTCATTGGGTAATTTCTTGTACTCAATAGAACAGAAGACATACTAGTGAAACAGCTAAGAATTTAGTCAAATAGAGCAATGGTTTAAAATAGGACTCAGAGTCAACAAAATCTCCAATCAGTAAAATGCTACTAACTACTAACATTGCACCTGTGTAATTTTGTAAATCAATTTTTTTGTATTTTTGGTGTCATTACCTCCAAGAAGAGATTCTCCATCATTTGTTTTTAAATGTGGACACAGAGTATTTTTAATTTTGGGGGTCTGGACAGTGAAAGAGTCAATAATAAGACTTACTGAATATCACAAGCAGGAGGACTGCTACTACACCACCAATGCACAGCTTGGCACGTGTATTTTGCCACCACATGTTGCGTCTAAGGCGAGTAGCAGAGGTGCGGAACTGGTCAGAGGTGGATGCCAAGCCTTCTGATCTGTCCTGCAAGTTATCCAGCTGGTCTCCTCTTTCCAATAACCTCCCAACATTGTCACGCATCACATCAGTGACTTCAGCAATCTGCACTCGCACACTGTCAAGAGATATAAACCATAAAATTTGGGTCAAATCTGCAATTACACTATAGAATAAGGAGCACTGTACAGATCATGCCTGAAATACACTTCATTACCCAAAATGCATTGCATACTAGTGGCTTTCTTTTGTGCCTAACAATATTTTATTGCATGTAATCTACAATATCTGTTTACTGCATAAAGGAAATAAAGTATCTGAATTTGAATCAAAAAGAATGGTAGTTTGGTCATCTCAAAAATCTCAGATATTATCCTAACACCACAAGACTTTGAAAAGGCAATAAATGATGTGCCCATTCACTCTGCCCCAGGCCCAGACTCATGAACTCCGTGTTCATCAAGAACTGCAAGACGCCCCTGTTACATGCCTTCAGCATTCTATGGGGGAGGAAGCATGGACACGGGACATCCCATACTCACTAAAAATAACAGACATAGCCCCACTCTACAAAAGTGGCTGTAAAGCAATTGCAAAGAACTACAGACTGATAGTACTAACATCCTATATCACAACAATCTTTGAAAGGGTTCTAAGAAGCAAGATTGCCAACCACCTAGACACCCATCAGTTACACAACCCAGGGCAACATGGGTTTAGAGCAGGTCGCTCCTGCCTGTCCCAGCTAATGGATCACTATGACAAGGTCCTGGATGCTGTAGAGGATAAACAAAATCAAGATGTAGTACACACAGACTTTGTACAAGTTTCCAACAAGTGTGACCATGGTGTAAATGCACACAAGATGCATGATAAAGGAATATCAGGAAAAGTTGGTAGATGGATCTATAACTTCCTGAGACACAGAACACAAAGAGTAATAGTAAACTGACTTCTGAAATTGTAATGACACAATTGCAAACAAACCATACCACGGGCAGGGTTTGAACCCGCGGTCAGAGTCAAAACTCCAGAACGTCGCATTAGTCACTGGGCCACATAAATATACCTAGTTGGATGAATCTTACTGAAGCTAGCTGGCCCAGTGTCTAACACGACGGTCTGGAGTTTTGAGACTCTCTGATCGTGGGTTCAAACCCCACCCGTGGTATGGTTTAGTAATAGTAACCAGAGTAAAGTTTGAGGCAGCTACAGTGAAAAGCTCTGTTCCACAAGGTACAGTACTCGCTCCCATTCTATTCCTCATCCTCATCTCTGACATAAACAGAGATGTAAGCCATAGCTCCATGTCTTCCTTTGCGAATGACACCTAGACTGCCATGACAGTGACCTCCACTGAAGACACCGCAAGACGCCAAGCAGACAAAAACCAAATCTTCAGATGGGCCACTCAAAACAGTATGAAGTTCAATGAAGAGAAATTTCAACTACTCAGATATGGAAAACTTCAGGAAATTAAAACTGTATCAGGGTATACGACAAATTCTAATTCTGTTCAACTGCCTCCCAGCACACATAAGGGGGATTACCAACAGACCCCTGGCAGTCTTCAAGCTGGCACTGGACAAGCACCTAAAGTCAGTTCCGGATCAGCCGGGCTGTGGCTCGTACGTTGGTTTGCGTGCAGCCAGCAGCAACAGCCTGGTTGATCAGGCTCTGATCCACCAGGAGGCCTGGTCACAGACCGGGCCGCGGGGGCGTTGACCCCCGGAACTCTCTCCAGGTAAACAACAGAGTTAGGGTAAGATATAAACAGCTATTGGAGGATAGATGGGCAAATGAGAGCATAGGCAATGGGGTCGAAGAGGTATGGGGTAGGCTTAAAAATGTAGTGTTAGAGTGTTCAGCAGAAGTTTGTGGTTACAGGAAAGTGGGTGCGGGAGGGAAGAGGAGCGATTGGTGGAATGATGATGTAAAGAGAGTAGTAAGGGAGAAAAAGTTAGCATATGAGAAGTTTTTACAAAGTAGAAGTGATGCAAGGAGGGAAGAGTATATGGAGAAAAAGAGAGAGGTTAAGAGAGTGGTGAAGCAATGTAAAAAGAGAGCAAATGAGAGAATGGGTGAGATGTTATCAAGAAATTTTGTTGAAAATAAGAATAAGTTTTGGAGTGAGATTAACAAGTTAAGGAAGCCTAGAGAACAAATGGATTTGTCAGTTAAAAATAGGAGAGGAGAGTTATTAAATGGAGAGTTAGAGGTATTGGGAAGATGGAGGGAATATTTTGAGGAATTGTTAAATGTTGATGAAGATAGGGAAGCTGTGATTTCGTGTATAGGGCAAGGAGGAATAACATCTTGTAGGAGTGAGGAAGAGCCAGTTGTGAGTGTGGGGGAAGTTCGTGAGGCAGTAGGTAAAATGAAAGGGGGTAAGGCAGCCGGGATTGATGGGATAAAGATAGAAATGTTAAAAGCAGGTGGGGGTATAGTTTTGGAGTGGTTGGTGCAATTATTTAATAAATGTATGGAAGAAGGTAAGGTACCTAGGGATTGGCAGAGAGCATGCATAGTTCCTGTGTATAAAGGCAAAGGGGACAAAAGAGAGTGCAAAAATTATAGGGGGTTAAGTCTGTTGAGTGTACCTGGTAAAGTGTATGGTAGAGTTATTATTGAAAGAACTAAGAGTAAGACGGAGAATAGGATAGCAGATGAACAAGGAGGCTTTAGGAAAGGTAGGGGGTGTGTGGACCAGGTGTTTACAGTGAAACATATAAGTGAACAGTATTTAGATAAGGCTAAAGAGGTCTTTGTGACATTTATGGATTTGGAAAAGGCGTATGACAGGGTGGATAGGGGGGCAATGTGGCAGATGTTGCAGGTGTATGGTGTAGGAAGTAGGTTACTGAAAGCAGTGAAGAGTTTTTACAAGGATAGCGAGGCTCAAGTTAGAGTATGTAGGAAAGAGGGAAATTATTTCCCAGTAAAAGTAGGCCTTAGACAAGGATGTGTGATGTCACCGTGGTTGTTTAATATATTTATAGATGGGGTTGTAAGAGAAGTAAATGCGAGGGTCTTGGCAAGAGGCGTGGAGTTAAAAGATAAAGAATCACACATAAAGTGGGAGTTGTCACAGTTGCTCTTTGCTGATGACACCGTGCTCTTGGGAGATTCTGAAGAGAAGTTGCAGAGATTGGTGGATGAATTTGGTAGGGTGTGCAAAAGAAGAAAATTAAAAGTGAATACAGGAAAGAGTAAGGTTATGAGTATAACAAAAAGATTAGGTGATGAAAGATTGGATATCAGATTGGAGGGAGAGAGTATGGAGGAGGTGAATGTATTCAGATATTTGGGAGTGGACGTGTCAGCGGATGGGTCTATGAAAGATGAGGTGAATCATAGAATTGATGAGGGGAAAAGGGTGAGTGGTGCACTTAGGAGTCTGTGGAGACAAAGAACTTTGTCCTTGGAGGCAAAGAGGGTAATGTATGAGAGTATAGTTTTACCAACGCTTTTATATGGGTATGAAGCATGGGTGATGAATGTTGCAGGGAGGAGAAGGCTGGAGGCAGTGGAGATGTCATGTCTGAGGGCAATGTGTGGTGTGAATATAATGCAGAGAATTCGTAGTTTGGAAGTTAGGAGGAGGTGCGGGATTACCAAAACTGTTGTCCAGAGGGCTGAGGAAGGGTTGTTGAGGTGGTTCGGACATGTAGAGAGAATGGAGCGAAACAGAGTGACTTCAATAGTGTATCAGTCTGTAGTGGAAGGCAGGCGGGGTAGGGGTCGGCCTAGGAAAGGTTGGAGGGAGGGGGTAAAGGAGGTTTTGTGTGCGAGGGGCTTGGACTTCCAGCAGGCATGCGTGAGCGTGTTTGATAGGAGTGAATGGAGACAAATGGTTTTTAATACTTGACGTGCTGTTGGAGTGTGAGCAAAGTAACATTTATGAAGGGGTTCAGGGAAACCAGCAGGTCGGACTTGAGTCCTGGAGATGGGAAGTACAGTGCCTGCACTCTGAAGGAGGGGTGTTAATGTTGCAGTTTAAAAACTGTAGTGTAAAGAACCCTTCTGGCAAGACAGTGATGGAGTGAATGATGGTGAAAGTTTTTCTTTTTCGGGCCACCCTGCCTTGGTGGGAATCGGCCAGTGTGATAATAAAAAAAATAAAAAATAACAACAGAGTGAAAAGGTAATGTGAAGGACCTGGGAGTGATAATGTCAGAGGATCTTGTCTTCAAAGACCACAACAATGTATCTACCGCATCTGCTAGGAAAATGATACGATGGATAATAAGAACCTTCAAAACTAGAGATGCCAAGCCCATGATGATTCTCTTCAAATCACTTGTTCTCTCAAGGCTGGAGTACTGCTGTAAACTAACTGTCCCCTTCAAGGCAGGCAAAATTGCTGACCTGGAAAGTGTACAAAGAACTTTCACAGCACACATAAGTATGATAAGGCACCTAAATTACTGGAGCACAGGTGAGACAGATGCATGATAATATACACTTGGAAAATCCTAGAGGGATTAGTACCAAACTTGCACACGAAAATCACTCCCTATGAAAGCAAAAGACTTGGCAGGGGATGCAAAATTCCCCCAATGAAAAGTAGGGGCACCACAAGTACACTGAGAGAACACAATAAGTGTCCAGGGCCCAAGACTGTTCAACTGCCTCCCAGCATACATAAGGGGGATTACCAATAGACCCCTGGCTGCCTTCAAGAAGGCACTGGACAGGCACCTAAAGTCAGCACCTGACCAACCGGGCTGTGGTTCGTACATCAGTTTGCATGCAGCCAGCAGTAACAGCTTGGATGATCAGACCCTGATCCACCATGAGGCCTGGTCTCAGACCGAGCCACGGTAGCGTTGACCCCCAAAACCCTTCTCAGGTAAACTCCAGGTCTCCAGTTAACACATTAACAAAGAAACTGGTAAAAAATTTATAGAAAATATTTTAAATAAATAAATAAATAAAATATTTATTTCTTTGCTAAGGTTACAATGTGTGTTTACATATCAAAGTATGATTGGAGCAAAGAAAACCACTACCTTGCCGAGGCATTTCGGGCAGACTGAACCTAATACTTATAGACTACTTAAGTCTAGACAGGTGAAGTGTGGTAGAATACAAACAGTCAATATTCACTTTACTGTTAATATGAGGTAGTACAATTTATGATACAATCAATCATACATTTTTAAGTTTGTAATTAAGTTCATTTACTCTATTATTGATATGAGGTAGTACAATTAGTGATATAAACATACACTTATAAGTTTGTAAAAATGGCTTAATAGTAAAGGGATAATAAAGTATTTGGGGGAGTTGCTTTGAATTTGGTTGGGGCTTAGCATGGTGTGGGTAGGTTTGTTATTGAGAGATGAGATGATTTCTGAGTATGATCCTAAAGTGATTTGTAGGCAGGGGACCTCTTGCTGCTTCAGGCAAAGACTTCCATATCCTAGGTAAGCCCTTTATGTGCATTGCATTTTTGCAAAGTGTGAGATGGACATGAGGGATGTCAAGAAGTGTTTTGTGTGTTGTGTTATGCCTGTGTGTTCTGTTGAAGCAGCTAGGAGAAGATTAGGCATACGAAGTGTACATTGGATCTCAAAGTTCTTGTACAGTAACACATTTTCTATGGCACATCATTTCACCACTGAACTACTTCACATATGGGTTGTGGGTATGCAGATGAGTGTTGCTTGACTATAAATTTAAGGTAATAATTAGTTAAAGTTGTGCCCTTTCACCGATTGATTACTAACTCCTTCATTAGACAACATACTCCACCTCTTTTCAAGAGTCTTAACTTGCTTAATATACAAAACATCCACACTTATTATTGTGCCTACTACATACACAGAACACTATACTCAAATATAAACCCTCCTCTCAAACTCCTTCATAACTATAACAAAACACACAACCATAACACGAGACACAAATCACTCTTCGATATCCCTTGTGTCCATCTCTCCCTATGCAAAAATACTATACACGTAAGGGCCCAAAGATCTGGAATTCATTGCCAAAACACACCAAAGGACCCCTGCCTGCAAATCAGTTTAAGACCCTACTAAGAAATCACCTCATCACTCAAAATTAACCAGACAAACCGTACCCAACACCTACCAGTTAACCAAAAGCTACTCATATTGTGCCGAGGATTGCTCAACCACTTACTCACTACTTCAAAATTAATATGTCTAAATTTCATTGTTTTAAATAGTACTAAATTGTAATACACCATATTGTAAATTGTTTTAGACTGTTCTATTGTAATACTGTAATCTTTATAAACTAATACAATAGTGTAATAATTCTCTACTAGACTTATCAAAGCCATGTAGCATTATCTAATACAATATTCAATTCTCTTATACTCGCTGTAACTTATCTAATGACCATATGAACTATTATTGCCTTCCTAATCTTAAGTTAAATTTTTAAGTTTGCCCCAAAATGCTCTGTATACAAAGAGGCTTTTGGCATATACACCCAACTATTATATTCCTCTGTACAACTATGTATCATGTCAAAATACACTTCTTACTCTTATTCATCTTAACATTAAGTTTAAGGTTTAACTTGACACATGAAGAAGACAACTTTTAAGATAATGATTATTGTAATTAAAATACAGTGGACCCCCGCCTTACGATGGCATCGTGTTATGTTAAATCCGCCATACGATACATTTTAATGCAAAAATTTTGCCTCGTCTCACGCAATTCGTCCGGGACGCGTCCCACACGTGGCCTCAACTGCCCCGTGCATGCCAGTGTTTACGAGCCAGCCAGTGCGGTTGCATCCACGCATACATTCGGTACATTTCATATTATCACAGTTTTTTTAGTGATTGTACCTGCAAAATAAGTCACCATGGGCCCCAAGAAAACTTATAGTGCCAACCCTGCGGGAAAAAGGGTGAAAATTACCATGGAAATGAAGAAAGAGATAATTGCTAAGTACGAAAGTGAAGTACGTGTCTCAGAGCTGGCCAGGTTGTATACCAAACCCCAATCAACCATCGCTACTATCGTGGCCAACAAAACGGCAATCAAGGAAGCTGTTCTTGCAAAAGGTGCAACTTTGTTTTCGAAACAGAGATCGCAAGTACTCAAAGATGTTGAGAGGCTGTTATTGGTGTGGATAAACGAAAAACAGATAGCAGGAGATAGTATCTCTCAAGCGATCATATGTGAAAAGGCTAGGAAGTTGCATGACGATTTAATTAGAAAAATGCCTGCAACTAGTAATGATGCGAGTGAATTTAAGGCCAGCAAAGGTTGGTTTGAGAGATTTAAGAATCATAGTGGCATACATAGTGTGATAAGGCATGGTGAGGCTGCCAGTTCGGACCACAAAGCGGCTGAAAAATATGTGCAGGAATTCAAGGAGTACATAGACAGTGAAGGACTGGAACCTGAACAAGTGTTTAATTGTGACAAAACAGGCCTGTTTTGGAAGAAAATGCCAAGCAGGACCTACATTACTCAGGAGGAAAAGGCACTCCCAGGACATAAGCCTATGAATGACAGGCTTACTCTGTTGATGTGTGCCAATGCTAGTGGTGACTGCAAAGTGAAGCCTTTATTGGTGTATCACTCTGAAACTCCCAGTGTGTTCAGGAAAAACAATGTCCTCAAGGCTAATTTGTGTGTGCTGTGGAGGGCAAACAGTAAGGCATGGGTCACTAGGGACTTTTTCTATGACTGGTTACACCATGCATTTGCCCCCACTGTGAAAAATTACCTAATTGAAAAGAAATTAGACCTTAAGTGCCTCCTGGTATTAGACAGTGCTCCTGGTCATCCTTCAGATGTGGCAGAGCGACTTTCTGTGAAATGAGCTTCATCAAGGTCAAGTTTTTGCCTCCTAATACCACTCCTCTCCTGCAGCCTATGGACCAGCAGGTCATTTCCAACTTCAAGAACTGTACACAAAAGCTATGTTTGAAAGTAGCTTTGTAGTGACCTCAGAAACTCAATTGACTCTAAGAGAGTTTTGGAGAGATCACTTTACCATCCTCAACTGTGTAAACATTATAGGTAAGGCTTGGGAGGAAGTGACTAAGAGGACCTTGAACTCTGCTTGGAAGAAATTGTGGCCAGAATGTGTAGACAAAAGGGATTTTGAAGGGTTTGAGGCTAACCCTGGGAATCCTATGCCAGTTGTGGAATCCATTGTGGCTCTAGGGAAGTCCTTGGGGTTGGAGGTAGAAGAGTTGGTGGAGGAATACAATGAAGAACTAACCACTGAAGAGCTGCAAGATCATCTTCAACAGCAAGAGGCCAGACCTGAGGAAAATGCTTCAGAGGATGGGAGAGAGAAATTGAGGAAGTTGCCTATTTCAAAGATTAAGGAAATGTGTGCAAAGTGGGTTGAACTTCAAACCTTTGCGGATGAAAATCACCCTGACACAGCTACTGCATACTGTGCTGGTGACTATTACAATGACAATGTTATGGCCCATTTCAGGAAAGTCTTAAAGGAACAAGAGGTACAGGCCTCTATGGACAGATATGTTGTGCGACAGAGGTCCAGTGACTCTCAAGCTGGTTCAAGTGGCATTAAAAGAAGAAGGGAAGTAACCCCAGAAAAGGACTCAATACCTCAAGTCCTAATGGAAGGGGATTCCCCTTCTAAACAATAACTTCCACACTCCCCTCCTCCCATCCCATCAATCATCACCAGATCTTCAATAAAGGTAAGTGTCATATTCTGTATTCTTAGTGCATGTCTTCTTAAGTTTGTGTGTATTAAAATTAATATTTCATGTGGTAAAATTTTTTTTTTCATACTTTGTGGTGTCTTGCACGGATTAATTTGATTTCCATTATTTCTTATGGGGAAAATTAATTCGCCATACGATAATTTCGTCTTACGATGAGCTCTCATGAACGAATTAATATCATAAGGCGGGGGTCCACTGTATTCAATGCTGTATGAACAAAATACACAGTACTTACTCCTTTAATTTATCGAAGCAAATCGTACAGTTTTTTTGCTGGAAGGACCTCTGAAAGTATAAGAGCCTGATTGAATTAAAAATTATTGTAATTATGTTATAGGGTATATTCACTGTGCAGGCATAACTTACTAATATGGCAGGTCAGGTTCCAGACCACTGCTGTAAAGCAATTCACAGCCTTTTTTTCACATGCTTGTGCATATAAAAGCCTAAAAATATGTTTACACTATCATTTATTAAGTGAATGAATAGTTTACAAGAAGTAACTACTGAAAGAAGGCATAAGGGGATAGTGGAGCTTCATCATATGAGCCTTCAACTCGTTGATTCAGCTTGGAGTCAGCTAAATCACTGAAAATAATAAAAATTAATATACACATACAGATATTTATAATCTTTCCCCCCACAAGTGATGCTAGAAATGATACAATCTTCAAAAATCTTTTGTTATGTTCACTGATTTAGACCTCTGAATAGCTGCATGTTAACTAATTTGTTTGCATTCAGAGTAAAACAAAACTACAAGCATATTAATTATAACCAAGCACTGGACTCTTGATTTATACAATAATCTTGATAATTCTGATAAGTTGGTGACTAGGAAGGTGGGTTAGTGATTTATCCATATGTGGTTAAGTGATGCTGCAGTAGTCTCAGTTATTCTTGCAGGCTTGGTTATCAAGGTATTAGTAAGTATGTACTAATTGTATATATCATTCACAAATTCTGCTATTTGGGGGTCTTCTGATTGGATGAGGTTGATGTTGAAATCCCCAGCAAGTATTAAGTGATGTTTATTTAATTGTTTTGCTAATGATTAGGTCCATAAGGTCTTCTCCAACGATGGTTATGTTGGTGTGTGGTGTCCTGCAGACAGTTCCTATTGTAAGAGGGGTCTTTAAGCACCTGTGTGTGAAATATGCAACTACATATTCTCTGAGCTTATCTCTGATGCAGGTTGAATAACCGCATTTCATCTCATAAGTGTGGTAGGCTGCTATACCCCCACCCCCTTTGATAAGGGCTGCAACTGTGTATGGCAGTGTACCCTGGTACAATGCAGATGTCTGTGGTGCTGTGGTTAAGCCAGGTTTCAGTGAGAATAATGAAGGTTGGGTTTGTCTTTAGCAATTTCAGGAGTGTAGCTATGTCATCACAGTGTTTACTTAGGGATCTGGCACTGTAGTTAAATACTGAGATGGTGTAACTGTGTTTATAAGGTAGATTGTTACTAATAGTAATCTATTGAATGTAATTAATCAGAGGTAGTACAGTCTTGAGAAATAGAGGGTGAGAATTAGTTTTTTATGTTGTGATAGAAAAGATGAACTGTTTGAAACTGGTGGGACCAAGATGAGAAAAAACATGCAGAGTACCCAAATGAACCAGAGTGATACAGGAAGGCCCTGCTTTACAGAGCTCTACTTTACAGAGCTTCGCTTTACAGCATTTTGCTAATACAGCAGTTTTCAATTATACCCATTCTTCATTTATTCAGACTTCCAACAATAAATATATTTACCACTCATGAACATATTTTAAGATAAGTAATGTGTCTACTATCTATGCATTTTTTAGTTTTAGCTCTTATTGCTTACTAATATATGATAGTGTAAACATGTTGTCAGGCTTTTATATGCAAATGAAAGTGAAAAAAGGCTATATATCACATCAGAGCAATTTTTGCTTTACAGCAGAAGCCCAGAACCTACCTGCTGTATAAACTGGGCTCTCCTGTATGAGAAAAATGTCTCAATGAGAAAGTAGCGAGAAAAATACAAGAGAAAAATAGTAGATTGTTTTCTTTAGGTAATATATGAAAAATATCTAGGGTAACATGTTCATACATAATATTTGTTATAACTAAATCTGCCAATAATCATTTACTAATTTATCTTTCAATTATTACAATTTAATCAAACCTACCTAAGGAAGAAGTCTTCATCATCATCTGCTACATCATCATCTTTGTTGATCAACTTTTCCTGAAAGCAGTAACTTAAGTGACTTACTTTCTCACTAACACTAGATTTATATACTACAGTACAGTGTACATATTTAACCATTTTACTGTTTCTCACACAGGTCTATGTTATTGAGGTAAGTGTAGCTTATATAGAACTACGTTTTAATCATAGCACCCTCAAATATGCTGTGACTGGTAAATTCTGGCCCTGACATGAGAATGGGTGTGCACAGTGGGTGCTCACAGCATAAAAAAAAAAAAATCCAGCCTCATGAAATGCATGATGGAAACAGCCAGCCAGTGACATTGTTTGGTTTACAACAGCAACTTCAAGACATGTTCTAAGGCAATTTTCATGGCTTTATTGGCTATTTCTTGATGATTTTCATCAGTTTCAGACTGAAAGTGGCTTGAAATAGGCCTCAAAAAGGCAAAATATTAAATTTTTAGTGATTTTCCTGAGGAAGGGTAAGGGCGCTACTACCTCTGTCTGTTTTATGGGTTTTTACTAGGTCTCTTTCAATTACTGGGATGGCCTAAACCATGAGAAATCATGCTTGGTTATACTGTATTTTATTAGCTGTGAAACAGTGCAAAACATTTTATGTGAGAGACGATAGATTCAAAATGGAGGGCAAGTGTTATATAGAAATGTCCTGAGTCCAGAATAATACACACAGGAAAGGTTGCCTTAGTAGCTGGAATGCCTACAGTGTTTATTTTGGGCTCTGTTTTTAAATTGGAATTTGTTGAATTTTGTTTAAAATCAAAGCCCAAAATAAACACTGTTGGCACTCCAGCCATTAAAGCAGCCTTTCCTCTGTGCACTTGATAAGATAATTGAATGGGTGGTGTCTTGTGCTCAATCAACAGAACAAAAGGTAAACTTAACAAAATTGCTGGGAATTAAATAAGTTTGAGCAATGGAATTGGCCTAAAATAGGCCTCAAAGTATGCAATATCACTAATGCATAAATTGCATTCACACCACCAACTTCCTGCCCACATATTTCCATAAATTTTCCATAAAATTTTTAGTGCATTTTTAGTGTCACTACCTTCAAAAAAAATTTCAATCATTTCAGAAGCCTTTTTTTTTTTTTTTAAATCACGACACTGACAGCCCTTTTAATATAAGAGTTATTACTGAACATCACTGTAAAATATATATTCACTGCAAATGAAGTATGAACCAAAGTGGAACACTCTGGTTCATATATGGAGTACAGTTAATTCCAAGTTTATTAACCCTTAAAAACTTAGATCTACTTTTGGAGCACTACGGATTTGAACGCCGATCTGTTTGGACAGTTTAAGCGTTAACCAAAACTAAATTTGGTATGGTTTAATACCATATACTGAATTTACACTCAAATTCAAATTACTTCTTTTGTGGTACAAAAACAATGTATACATGTAATAAAACATTGGTAAACACAAAAGAAAGCCACTAGTATGCAAAGCATACATGAACCAAGCACAGTTAACATGCACTGATCAAGATTTGCGAGTTTTTTAAGTTAGAGTACGTAGTAGGCTGCAATAAAAATAATAAAACCCAATCTAACCTATATTACAACCAACTCTTGACCACTGAGTATCAATATACAGTGGTACCTCGGGATACGAACAGCTCAAAACGCAAACAATTATGTAAGTGTATTTATGTAAGTGTTTTTGTAAGTGTATTTTTGGGGGTCTGAAACGGATTAATCTAATTTACATTATTTCTTATGGGAACAAATTCATTCTGTATCAGCACTCGAACAGCCTTCTGGAACGAAAAAAGTTCATATCCCGAGGTACCACCGTACGTGTAAAATGTGAGAAGCACTATTTCCACAGTTGTAGGTAGATGTTGTACATATTTACTCTTTAGATAGGCTGAAGTTTGCCCAAAATGCTCTGCGCACTAAGGGCCTTCCTGCAAGCACACCTAAATGACACCCATCTCTGTACAAACAGTGTATCATGCTGAAACAAGTCTTTATATACATCTTTATCTAGGCACTTAAGTTATGTTCTCTAAGCAAATGTAATCAATTAGATTATATTACTTTAGGCAGCCTTATTTCTGTTTTATTGTGAAAACTACGACATCTATTATTCTCAAGCTGCTAAGGAAATTATAATCAAGGGAGAAGCGCTAAATCCGTAGGATTATACAGCACCCATGGAGTTGATGTGCTAGGTATTCAGGCTTAATTCAGGGAACTGGAGCACAGATCAATTCCCTAGATCAAGAGCCCCTCACCAGCATTAAGGAACCTTTTTCGTATTTAATGTGATTTCTATTTGATTATATGTGTTTGAATTATTATATCTGAATTTTTTTTTTGTTATATTAAGGGGAAATCATTAAACCAGTTAAGGTTATACAGTGCCCAAGGAATGGGAGGCAATAAGGTTTGATCCAAGAAAGAGGAAGACAGGTTAATTTCTTGGATCAAGACCCCTTCACCAGCATTATGGCACCTCTCCTTGAGGGGTCGACCCAGGGAAAAATAGGTTCAATTTGTTGGATCAAGAACCCCTAACCAATATCAAGGCACGTCCCTAGAGTCGACTCAAGGAAGGGAAGGAGAAATCAGACTCCCTGGATCAAGGATCCTTCACCAGCATCGAGGAACTCCCCTTTGGAGGGAAAAGGGAGATGATGATTAGGCTTGAAAATATGCGGCAAATCCGTATGAGTCACACATCTTAATTTCACCAAAGATCTCATCCAGCTGTTGACTTACAACCTCGTCATCATCTGCGTCATCCAGGTCCTCAGCTGCAATGTTACGCTTTGGAGGCATCTTGTCTGTTTTAGCTGCTCTACAACCCTCACAACTATCTTGTTGAGCCTTCAGACAAGTGATAGAAACTTAACTTCTTCACGGTACACTACACTTTACTGTCAGACATTGTTGTTGTTGGGTTGAAAGTTAATACCGGTCTGAGACCCAACATCCCTAGTAAGTAAGTAAGTAATAGTGGCCCTGAAACCCAATACAAGAATTAAGTTTATTCAGGTATAACAAATACATTATTATTATTATAATCAAGGGGGAAGCGCTAAACCCGGAGGATTATACAGCGCCTGGGGGGGGGATGTGGAAGGCATTCAGGCTTAATTCGGGGAACTGGGGCACAGATCCAATTCCCTAAATCAAGAGCCCCTCACCAACATCAAGGAACCTTCCTTGAGGGGTATAACAAATACAGTTACATAGATGATCATACATAGCAGTATATGTGTAGAGAACCTGGGATAACCCAAAAAAGTCAGACAGTGACTTATTTCCATTGGCCCTATAGTAAGTTTATTCTGGTATACACAAATACAGTTACATAGATTATCATACATAGCAGTATAAGTGTAAAGTATCTAGGATAACCCAAAAAAGTCAGGCAGAGTGACTTATTCCATTCCTCGGGAACTTAAGATAAGATTTGTTGGAATTTTTAACTCTGAGGGTTAGCCCAGAAAGTCAGTGTCACTTTAACTTACCTGGTACCACTGCAGTGTATCTTGTACATCGTTATGATTTATTTCAAATAGTCAATATTTTTAGCAAGGTATGGTCGAATCTAGACAAGATGTAGTTACATGTAATTAACAATAGAAAAAAAGTTGTTGCTGACCAGATATACACATGTAAATAGTTCATTGTAGATGAATGGTTCAGAGAACAGACATGTTGATAAATTTAGACACATGTGCGACTCTTGGATATATTTATTGAGGAAACGTTTCGCCACACAGTGGCTTCATCAGTCCATACAAAGGCTGAGCGACTAATTACTTCAAACTCCTCCTGTTCTTCACGATTCTCCTTGGTATGGACTGATGATTAGGTAAGACACATATGCAACAGTTAGGTATCTTTATTTCGAAACGTTTCGCCTACACAGTAGGCTTCTTCAGTCGAGTACAGAAAAGTTGATAGAAGCAGAAGATACTTGAAGACGATGTAATCAGTCCATCACCCTTAAAGTTTTGAGGTGGTCAGTCCCTCAGTCTGGAGAAGAGCATTGTTCCGTTGTCTGAAACAATTGTTTCAGACAACGGAACAATGCTCTTCTCCAGACTGAGGGACTGACCACCTCAAAACTTTAAGGGTGATGGACTGATTACATCGTCTTCAAGTATCTTCTGCTTCTATCAACTTTTCTGTACTCGACTGAAGAAGCCTACTGTGTAGGCGAAACGTTTCGAAATAAAGATACCTAACTGTTGCATATGTGTCTTACCTAACAATCTGTCGGTATTTTATACCATTTTAATGTTCATGGACTGATGAAGCTACTGTGTGGCGAAACGTTTCCTCAATAAAGATACCCAAGACTTGCACATGTGTCTAATTTATCAAATAGTTCATTACTGCCCGAAATGCCCCGGCATGATAGTGCCATCAGGCCCCATACTGGTGGCAAAAGCTCTCGCTTCACACAGTGAGGGTCCGGGTGCGATTCCCGGCGAAGGGGTTGAAACAGTGGACGTATTTCTTTACGCTGGTTGTCTATGTTCACCCACCAGTAAAATGGGTACCTGGGTGTTAGTGGACTGGTATGGGTCGCATCCTGGGACAAAACTGACTTAATTCGCCCGAAATGCTCAGTATAAGAATCGGCTTTCTATATAGTACAGTATGTCATTGATGTCAGCTAGACCTGTATACCTTGTACATGTACTTGTAGTAAATAAAGATATTAAATAAATAACAAAAAGGCACAATACCGTGACTGGAACGATACACAAATAACCCGCACATAAAAGAGAGAAGCTCACGGCGACGTTTCGGTCCGACTTGGACCATTGACAAAGTCACACTGATATTATTATTACTTAGCAAATCAAAATTGTAATTACACATTGTAACCTTTGCAAAGAAATAAAATCTTTATCTTTTACCACTGTAACTTGTTCAGTTATCAAAACTTTCAGGCCCAGTGCCTGGACCCATTATAATAAAGTTGGTAGAATTACCGACAATATGTAAAGTAAAAGGACACAAGTGCAACTAACGTGACATTTATTGTAGCAACGTTTCGCTCTCCAGGAGCTTTATCAAGCCATTACAAACAATACATGGACACAGAGGGTATATAAAGGCTCAGAGTGAGGTGAATACTAGTGAGGTACCATTTCGATTTTCACTAGTGGTAGTAGTAGTAGTAGTAGTGGTAGTGACAAAAGCAATTAATTCGTACATGAGTAAAAGGATAAAAGCTATTACTTGGGTAACATAAAAATAGGTTGGACAAATATAAACTGGAATGAGGCAGGTTGTTTCAGTGTTCACTCTCTGTGCTTTGTGTAGTATAACAGGAGAGACTATGTGATGGCAGGGTTTACTGTTTTCAGGAGGATTCTTGCTAAGACTTCGGCAGCTTCACCATCTCCGAAGTCTTAGCAAGAATCCTCCTGAAAACAGTAAACCCTGCCATCACATAGTCTCTCCTGTTATACTACACAAAGCACAGAGAGTGAACACTGAAACAACCTGCCTCATTCCAGTTTATATTTGTCCAACCTATTTTTATGTTACCCAAGTAATAGCTTTTATCCTTTTACTCATGTACGAATTAATTGCTTTTGTCACTACCACTACTACTACTACTACTACCACTAGTGAAAATCGAAATGGTACCTCACTAGTATTCACCTCACTCTGAGCCTTTATATACCCTCTGTGTCCATGTATTGTTTGTAATGGCTTGATAAAGCTCCTGGAGAGCGAAACGTTGCTACAATAAATGTCACGTTAGTTGCACTTGTGTCCTTTTACTGGACCCATTATATACCTATATAATGGGTCTTGAGTGGTGACCTGTACTCGCTCTTGAGTGGTGACCTGTACTTTGAGTGCTGACCTGTACTTAACTCTGTGAAGAAGTGTCTTGTTTGCTCCCGTGGACTGAACCAAGATGCCCTCCATCGAGCAACTTTACCAGCAACTTAAGGAAGAATTGAGGGCAGCGAAGATGGAGATACGGCGATTGACCGAGGAAAACAAGAGGATTCGTAGTAGTCCTCCTGTTTCGAGTCCTCAGGTCAAGAAGGGATCGTGGTCAGTGGTTGGACAGCAGGGGACGACGAAGTTGACGATCAAGAAGACGAATGGAAAGCCAGAAACGATGAAGAAGAAAGAGACTGCTGTGGAAACTCCCGTGGAAACCTCCAACGCATTCTCGGTGCTACCCGACGAATGTGAGTCTACTACTGGGATCGTCACGACGAACGACAACAAGGAAGGTAAGAATATTGTTGAACATTAAAATGGTATAAAATACCGACAGATTGTTAGGTAAGACACATATGCAACAGTTAGGTATCTTTATTTCGAAACGTTTCGCCTACACAGTAGGCTTCTTCAGTCGAGTACAGAAAAGTTGATAGAAGCAGAAGATACTTGAAGACGATGTAATCAGTCCATCACCCTTAAAGTTTTGAGGTGGTCAGTCCCTCAGTCTGGAGAAGAGCATTGTTCCAAGGTATGAAACAATATTGTTTCATACCTTGGAACAATGCTCTTCTCCAGACTGAGGGACTGACCACCTCAAAACTTTAAGGGTGATGGACTGATTACATCGTCTTCAAGTATCTTCTGCTTCTATCAACTTTTCTGTACTCGACTGAAGAAGCCTACTGTGTAGGCGAAACGTTTCGAAATAAAGATACCTAACTGTTGCATATGTGTCTTACCTAACAAGAATATTGTTGTTGTTGGGGATAGCCAGGTTAGATACATGGATAGGGCATTCTGCTTGAAGGACAGGAGTAGGAGACAAAGGGTATGCTTTCCTGGGGCTGGGATGGAGGACATTGTTAGCCGGCTTGACAACATCATGAACGGTAATGGGATCAATCCTATTATTTGCCTCAGTGCTGGAGGCAATGATGTAGGCAAGCGTAGAAGTGAGGATTTAGTTAGAAAGTTCAGGACAGCTATAGACATGATTAGGAAGAAGGGGGGGCGCCCTGTTATATGTGGCATTTTGCCAAGAAGAGGTGTTGGTAATGAATGGTTGTCCAGAGCAATTGGTATTAATTGTTGGCTGGATAAACACTGTAAGGATAATGCAGTACCATTCATTGACAACGGGGACAACTTCTATGGTTTGAAATGACATGTATGCCAGGGATGGGGTTCACTTATCCAGGGCAGGTGTGGGTTTTCTTGCTAACTCAGTTGGGGGGGTTGTTAGGACTTTAAACGGGTTTAGTTAGAGGTAGGGGTTTTGAAATGATTAAATAATGAATATGGGATATTTTGACTTATGCTCTGATATTAAGAATCTTAATAGTAACTGTCATGGAGTAACTCTGGGTAATGATAATTTCAGAAATTGTGTAAAAACAAAGATGAATAGGAAAAATGTGCAGAAAAAAAAACATATGATGGAAATTTTATGCTAACAGTCGAAGTGCAAGAATAAAATTAAGAACTACGTTTGGTAGGGATGTGCTGGAACTTTGATATCATTGCTTAACTGAAACGTGGTAATGATTTAAAGAGTCGGGATATGACTGCTGAGTGTAATATTCAGGGATTTTTAAATTATTCAATTTTGGATAGATGTGGTGGGAAGGGGGAGGAGTTGCATTGTATGTTCGAGAAAATATTAATTGTTGCATAAAAAAAGGTATAAAAATAGATGGAGCATAACAGAGTCTGTTTGGGTAGAGTTCGTGGAGGGTCAAGAAAAACTGATTCTAGGGGTAATATACCGACCTCCAGGCTTGGATCACGATAGAGGGAGACTTCCTTTGGACGAAATTGTTAGGGGTTCTGGGCACAGTAAACGTTTGTCCCTAGTAGGGGACTTTAACTTTTGCCAAATTGACTGGAATTCTTTTTTACAGGTAATCTAGAGTCCAGTGACTTCATGGAAACAGTTCAGGACTGTTTTCTGAACAGAGTGTAACGAACCTACCAGGGTAATAATTTGCTAGACCTAGTCTTGTCCCAAA